CCACTGAGCCACACCAGCCAGGGCCCATGTACTTTAAAAGGAAACTTTTTATCACTACAGAAACTAGAAAACTGTTATCACTTGTAAATTAGAGGGTAACAAAAAATTAATAAGATGAAACAACTTGTTCTGACATTCTGGCTAGATACTATCCATCGCCTCCTCCAAATTTTGAGCTGAAGGCCTATCTTTCTTTGTTAAAGAAAAGACAAGATAAGTACAGATAGAGATGTGTGAAAGGGGTTCTGGCAGCAAAATGAGACTTTCTCCTGGAATGATCAGGAGTGTTGAAAGAGAATTGGAAAACACAGCTTCCGTGCGTGCATGCATGCTTCCTCGATGGTGTGTGCATCACCTAAAATCACTCCGAGATGGTGTGCAGTGCACACACCGCCGTCCCATGTCTGGGTATTCTAGGAGTGTCCAAACATTACTGGGGGCAGGGAGACAAGGCCAGCCAGTTCTGGCACAGGGGTGCAGCACCTCCCCACCACCTGCCGAAGGCTGCAGCTGCAGGGGGCAGCATGAAGTGGCACTCACTGTGCAAGAGCTGGCCCAGGCTTGCCCGGCAGATGGCATAGGCCCACTCCCCCCTCCCTCAGCCTGGCTCCCCAGGTGGGCCTCTCACCCACAGGCTGTCCTCACATACCTGTCACCCAGTTTACCCTGGGCCTGAAGTTCACCATTTCCTGCTACTTCAGGCTGCTCAGGCCAAACGCTGTCTTGTGCATCCTCTTAGAACCTGGGTGAAGCACGGCCCCAGCCCCGCAGAGGAGTGCAGGTGTGATATCATCAAAGGCTGTGAATAAGTAAACAATAAGTAGCCAGAAGTGGCCTGTTTCCCACGTGATACCCAGGGAAGGGTCCGATTCCCCCTATGGTGCTCTGGGGACCGTCCTGGCCAGCAGGCCAGGACATTTATTATTTAGTGTTTTAATTGTACTAGTCCCAGGGTAGGTACAGTTCCAAACGAGTCTGGTCCCACCCTTTAGCTGGACAGCAAAAAAAGCTGAGGGCACCGCAGGCCAGTTCAAGTCAGAAAACTAAGGATCTAGTCCTTTTTTCTCTTCCTGTTATGTGACCGTGGTCAAGTGTTCGAGCTCTCTGGGCCTCAGTTGTACACACACAAAGTCCCACTGCCCAGGCTCAAATCTTGGTTCTGTCACTCGCTAGCGGGAGAACTTGTGCAAGCGAATTAACACCTCTGGGCCCTTCTTATCTATAGAGTGGGGACGAGGGCGGCACCTGTACATAGAGCTGCTGGGGTGATAGAGTAAGACAGGTGCGAATGCTCAGTGTGATATTCATTGAGTTGTTGTTATATTTTTTTAATGAGCCCTTGTTCTGTGCCAGATACCCTGCCTACATTTTCTTTAACCATTGCAATAAAGCCCTGACGATCTCTGGTGAGCCCTACTTTCCAGATGAGTAAGACCAAGGCTTATTGCCTTAGTTAATTTGTCCAAGTTCACACAGACACACAGAGGCAGAACTAGAATTCAAATATAGATCTTGCCTAGCTCTAAAATTCCTTTCAACTGGTTCATAATTCTTTTTCATCTATAAAATGAAAAAAAAAAAAGGTTTCTGCCTCTCAGGTCTGCTGCTAGGATTAAATAAAACAAAGTCTGTGGAGAGGCCTCTCCGGATGCTTGCTTTAGCTTCCGATTCCCCCAGGGTAATTATCTGAGCACAGGACTTTCATTTTCGTAATGAGGAGTCTGCCGAACCTCTTAGACTCTGGGAGGCAATGCTGTCTGATGTCCACAGGAGGGGCTGGAAGTGTGAGATCAAGTCAGAGCCACCAGGTTCCCTTCCCACGACCAGGCCCAGGCCTGCTAAGGCTTCTTTCATCTTCTGGGCTTCGTCTTCGCCTCAGGTCTCCCACCCACCCCAGGGAGACTGGGAGTACACACCCTTTTCTCTCTTTCCCAGGGGCAGTGCCAAACTACATGTGATGAAATCTGACATCTCCAGCTTTGAACTATACGTAGAGGGAGGCCTGATGGTTATCCGGCTATTGCAGTGAGCTTCTCCCAGCCTCTGACAAATGGTGTGATGTTGGAAAAAGTGGAACCCTGGCAAAGTGGGGTGCATGTATCACCCCTCCTATTGGCTTGGCACTGTCCGCCCTCCTGCATTATGTATGAGCCAGCTTAGGAACGGCATACCGTCACTAGTGTGTCTGACCACTGCAGGCCACAGACTCGATCAGAGGCTTTGCCAAGGCGCATGTCTGTGTTGGCAGGAGCTGAAAAGAGGGAGGGAGATGTGTCACCTGAGGCATTTCCTGGGACTGGTTTCAACTTGGGCCTTGCATTCTGCAAAGAAGTAGGGGCAGACAGGAAGACAGACTCAATAAGACAATCTGACCCCACCTTAGAATCAACAACGCTAACATCGGGGAGAGCTAGACCCCCTGTTTTCAGAGCTTGAAACGCCCTTAAGAGGGTGGGGTGGCATTAGAGGTGTCTGGGACCTCTCAGTGTGGTTGAAGGGGGGAGAGGAGATTTGGAACCAAGAGACACAGACCCTGGCAATTTCTGCGACTGCCTCATGGGGCCGGCAATTCCCAGGGGCAGCAGTTGTGGTGGAGAACAAGTAGGCATGCAGCAGCAGAGCTTCCAGGTGAAAATGCAAGAATGTGTGTAGAACCGAAAAGTTCAGGAAGGAAAGCAGGAGAGCTGAGTGCCTCGGCTCCCTGAAAGCCACAGGAACTAGGGCATCTGGATAACAACACTTCATCAGTGTTGATGAAGAGTTGCAGTTGGATTTAGTTCATTCATAAAGTCAGTGGTTACTCACTGGGTGCTCCCAAGGCCAGACCAAGTACTAGGCCTTGGCATATGGAGATGAATCAGACCCAAGTGCTCACAGTCTAATTGGGGAGCCAGGCACTGAAGTAAAGATTCAAATACCTTGTGGTAAAGAGATAGAACAGCAGCATGTACAGTGATCCATCACCTATCTCGGGACTTACATTCCAGAGACCCCCTCGATAGGTGAAAATCCTCAAAGTAGCGGCGTTATGCTTATTTTATTATTTATATATAAGACTTTATAAACCCTTCCCACACTCCTATAAACCTTCCCCACTCTCTTATTAACCTTTCCCACACTCTTATAAACACTTCATATGCTCTTAAACACTTTCTACACTCTTAAACCTATGTAATTTGAACAACATATAAAATTCTATATGGGTACTCACCAGTGAAGTATACAGTCGTCCCTCGCAATAAGTGGACCGCGATACAGCGAGGGAGGACTGAGCATGGTGGCCAAAGTGGCCACCTCTGCCTGAGGTTGGCAGAAAGAACTCCCTGAGGCAAAACTGAGCAGAGGCTTGAAGGATGAGGGAGTTTTCAGAAAAGAAGCACAGAAAGGGTGTTGTTCTACTCAGAGGGAACAGCATCTGCAAAGGTGCAGAGCTGTGAAATCCAATGCACTGGTTCTGGAACCTTGAACAGGTACTATGGTGGAGCCTCAAAAGAACTGATGAGGCAGGAAACAGTCATTGGTTCATATATCGTCTGATTCCCCCTCCCCCAGTGTCAGGTAAGCGACACAAGGGGAGGAAATTTGTCTGCCTTACCCTCTGCTGAAGATCCTGAGCCCAGATCGGTGCTTGGTCCCCAGTGAGGTATGTTAGAAACGAATCAACTGAAGACAGGTGGGACCCAACAGGAAGGTGCCGACAGTCAGCTAAAGCATTTGGGACTCATCCTGGAGTCAGTGGGGAGCCTGCGGAGGCTTAAAAATAGAAAAGGAACAGGATATGCTGTGGGTGGGAGGAAATCACTTTGACAACGGTGCGATGATTGAAGAAATCAGATTACGAAGTCTTTTCAAATTTTTTATTTATCATTTTTTATTATTATTCTATTACAGTTGTCCCAATTTCCCTCCTCTACTCTTCTCTGCCCACCCCCCTTTGCTCTGCTCCCACAGGCCATCCCCACACTGTTGTCCGTGTCCATGGGTCATTCACACATGTCCTTTGACTAGTCCCTTCCCCTTCTTCTACCATTACCTCCCTTCCCCTCCTCTCTGGCCACTGTCAGTCTGTTCCATGTTTCCATGCCTGTGGTTCTATTTTGTTATTAGTTAATTTTGTTCTACAGAATGGGGATTCCTCTTACAGGTGAGATCATATGGTATGACTTGGTTTTCCCTGACTGGCTTATTTCACTTAGCATAGTATTCTCCAAAGGTTTTTTTTGTTTGTTTTGTTTTGTTTTTTAATGTATTGATTTTAGAGAGAGGAAGGGTGAGAGAGAGAGACATTCATTAGTCGAGTCTTGTATGTACCCTGACCAGGGCATTAACCCGCAACCTTGGTGTATCCGGTCGAATGCTCTAACCAAGTGAACTACCCGGCGGGGTCAGATTATGAGGCCTTAAATGAGGACATCGTCAATAAAAATGAGTGGGGTCAGGTTGAAAAGATATTGTGAATAATGACAAATGACAAGTAGCTTTAATTTTTACAAGGTCCCTGTGAGAAAGGTGACTCCCCTTTTACAGAGGTGGAAATGGACTGATGGAGGCTCAGTGACTTGGCCGAAGTCCCACAGCAAGCTGGTGGTGTAGCCCAGGGGTTCAGTCTTCTTTTTGTGGGGTCCCGGGACACAGCATATGAGGAGGATCCGACCCAGGAGGGTGGAAGCAGAAATTTACCATTTCGGTGCAATAACTGCGGGAAAGCCCCAGACCGCAACTAAAAAGAACTGGTAACTACAGGGAATCAGCGGTGAAAGCGAGGGGGGGGACAGCAAATTTTGGGTTTCGGCGGCCACCGTAGTAGCAGTTCTCTGTCTCCATAGCAATAGCAGGAAGCCGCGGGAGGTTTACAGACGGAGCTGCTACAACGGCCTATTGGACCTAACGCAGAGCGGTCCGGAAGGTGCAGGTGATGCGGCTGGGTGGGTGGAGGGACACGGGGTGTGGCCACAGCTGCGGGCTGGCCCGGGAGAGAGGTGTCGCCCTTGAATCCCTGGATCCTCATTCCCACTCTCTGGATGAGGGGCCAACGCTGGGCCTCAGTTTCCTCAAAGGAAGTGGGAGGAAGGGAGTGGGCACCTCAGTGCAGTGGCCCCTCGCAATCTCTGAGGCCCGGACTTTCTCTCCTTTGCAGCTCCTGAACTGACTGGCGCTGTCCTGCCCCATGGACGTGAGTCCTAGGCCCCTAAACCCTTTCTGGAGCAGCTCCCCCTCAGCGCCCTAAACTCACACCGACTTTGCCCGCCCTCTGGCAGCACTGGAGAAGACGCTGTTTATTTAACACAAGCTAAGGATAAGCGTTTTGAGAAAGAATGCCAGGGATGGGGGCTTCCCAGTGGAGGGTACTTTCCTGCTTTTCCCTGCGAGATGAAGAGTTTGCCAAGTAATCAGTGAGAAAAGGCATTCCAGAGGGAACAGCATGGGCAGAGACCTTGGGGGCAGGGAGAGAGAGGGAGGGAGAGAGAGAGGATAGGGCATTTGGGGGACTGCTAGGACGTAAGTATGGCTGGATAACAGGGGGAGGGAGGGAAAGGTGGGTGGGACTAGAGATAAGTCTGAGATTTTGTCACTAAGTTTGGACCAAGTCACTGAGAGCCATTGATGAGATATGGAAGCAAGGGAGGTATACACAAGGACAGCTAGTATGGATGGAAAGGGGCAAAACTGCAGACCGGCAGACAGTTAAGGGGCAGTAATGTTGGCTGAAAGATGGTAGATAGAATCAGAGACAACAGATCCATTTGGAGAGACGTTCTGGAAGGAAGTTCGTTAAGTCTTGGTAAAGTCTAGAATGATCACCAAGCCCTTTATGATGCTGAAACGGGGATGACAGGAGAATAGGCGGGTTTGGGCGGCAAGAGAGATAGTCCTTTTGACTCTCTCCCTACCTACCGCCTGGTGGCTGTTCCTCCCCTTTCCCAGCCACTTCAGTGTCCCTCCTGGCGTGTCTGTGTTCCTGCGGTTCCTCCTACCTCCTTGTCACCCCTTCCTCCTGTGCTCATTCAGGCCTCCTCTAGCCCTTGGAATCCCACCCCGGCTCCCGTCAGCAGTCCTTCCCTGCTGCTCCCCATCCCTGCCATCGTCTTCATCGCTGTGGGCATCTATTTGTTGCTGCTAGGCCTAGTGCTGCTGACTAGGCACTGCCTGCTGGTGAGGAGCCTGGTGGGGACTGAAGGGGGGCTCTGGGGAAGAAGAACTGGGTTAACCGTGCCCTCATCTGCAGGCCCTTAATCTGAGACTCCTTTGCTATTTGGTCCCCTCATCTATTCTTTTCGTGGCACCAGAGAGTTCCTCCTCTGCTGTCTCCTGCCCAACCTTCTCCTGCCCCTCTTGCCAAAACCACGTCTCGGTTATCCCTACCTGCCACCTGGCCCAGATCCTGAGCCCTGCTGTCTCCTAGGCCCAGGGCTGCTGCACCGATTGCGGCTCCCCCTGCAGGAAGCAAGCTGCTTCCAGGCCCCAGGACTGTTGCTGGACCTGTGCAGAAGCCTGCGACTTCCCTCTGCCCAGCCCAGCTCACTACCTGGATGCCTGCTGCCCCCAGCCCACCGAAGCTGTGAGTTCTCACACTGCCCTCTGACTCCCTGAGCCCTGATCTAGGCACTACCTGTGCATTCATTTTTGTCATTGTTCAGTATTTATTATTCATCACCAATGCTAGGCCAGGCGCCATTCCAGGTATTGGCTCGGGTGGAGACAGCCAAAAACAACATCAACAACATATAGTGTGTAACGATGAAAGCTACCTGGGAAAAGGAAAACAGGGCTTCGGCTGGAGAAAGGCCATGTGTGTAATGTGCAGGGCATGTAATCACTTCTGAAAATGGAAGTTAAAAGGGAAACGCAGACCCTGTCACAGAGCTTTTCCTGCTCTTTGAGTGAACACTATATTCCATTATTATTTTCTCAACAACCTCGGGAGCTGGGTATTTTTAAAAACTGGTATATATTTCTTCTGTTCACAGAAAGTATTGATTACAAAGTGTGCATGTAGAAATATATAGAAAACACAAGGCAATTTATAAGCCAGCTTTCTAACCAAGGTTGCTGTGTTTTGTATATGACCCTCACATACTCACATACAATACCATCACTGCTGAATTTTGCTATTATTTGGTAAAAATGGGTCACACCACATATACTACATCATTACAAGTGCTACTTGCCCTTTTTAACTTGACATCATACCTTGGTCACCTCTCTATGCCTATGCAGGTACGTAGGTAAGTACTGCTACCCTCCTTTTGCAGGGGAATAAATCGGCTTAGGGAAATCAGGCACTTCTCCAATATTCCACAGTAGAGTCTTACATAGAAAATTGTTCTGTAGTGTGTTGGAACAGAGTCCTCAGGGAGAGGCCTGGCTTTCAGAGGACAGGCCACCTTTGCATTTGTGGGTTCAAAGGTGTTCCATGTAATCGACCACCTTCCTAGGCAATAATTATTTTGGGCTCAGAGGTTTAGACAGTAAAGCTCCTGCCTTTGAAGTGGCGACCTTCCCTGGGAGGGAAGAGTGAGGCTAGAAGACCAAGCAGATCCATGACTTGCATTGCCCATAGTTGGTGCATTAAGGTCTCTGTTCCTCAGTTTCCTTAGTAATGAAATCAAACACAAATATTACAAAGCTCTCTCCTACCTCACAGATACAGAAACTGAAGCTCTCAGAGGCTTGAGTGACTTGCCTGAGGCTTGGGCCAGGACAGAAACCCAGGTGCCTCTTCCTCTCTGGGGGCCTGCCTGATCTGCTTCTTTCACAGAATGTCCCAAGTTTCTAATTCAATCATTGTTTATTCACTTAACCAAAGATTTATGGAGTCATTGTTGAGGCCCCATGGTGGGCCCTGGGGGCTCAGTGGAAACAGGATGGACATGGTCCCGGCCCTCACAGGGCTTGTGCTCTGGTAGAGAGCAGAAAGAATGCTGGTAAGTAGTAACAGTGTGTGAGAATGATGTGATGTGGTGCGGTGTTTGGGTCTCAACCCTGTGTGCGATCAGAAGCAGGTCTCAGGCTTAAACAGAAAGCCAGGCATTCAGGTCCACCACTCAGTAGTTCTGGGGCTGGTTGGAGTTGGTGAGTTTTTAACAAGTTCTCACATGATCCCACCCCACACCAGCATAAAGAACGGCTGGGGTGAGGACAAGAATAGCTCCCTTTATTGAGTGCTCACTATGTACCAGGCGTCATGCTTAGTTCTTTCTACTGATTCCTCACAATGACCTTAGGAAGTGGGTTCAGAGATGAGGAAACTGAGGCTCCAAACTTGAATTAGCCAAACCTGGGCCTGAACTAGGTTCAAAGTGGGGCCTGAGCTCTAACCGGTAAAGATGGCTGGCCTTTTACCAGATCAAAGCAAAAGAAATCAAGTGAAAACTGCAGAGCCTAGAGAAACACGAGGGTTAACAGTCTTGCGGAGTCCCTGTTTAATGTACTTAAACAGCAGATTCCTTCCCAAAGCCACCTGGCTGCCCCAGAGAGTTGAGAAATCCATTAGCCAGTTATTAATGACTGGATCCAATGGAGAGAGCCAGGAAATGTTTTCAATTCCCACTTCTCTGAGTTGAGTGCAGGGAAACCTCTGTCAGCCACCAGCTTTGTGCACAGAATGACAGTGCAGCCCTCCCAAAACCCACAGAGCCAACTTCATCTGCAAACTGGGACTCCCCAAAGACACCCCCAACCACACCCTCATCAAACACAAGGAAACCACTTGGCTTCTCTCTCCTTCCACCGTGACACTTCTAGCTCCTCCCTGAGAGCCATTTCTGTGGGCAGCAGCTCCTGCCCAATTCAGACCACTCTCCTTGGAGACTGTAGGTCCCCTCCCCTCACCGGAGCCCCTAGTGATATCTGATCTCACCAGTCACCTGACATCGCACCCCGAAACCTCAGCTGTTCAAAAGGTCATTCCCCTATTCCTGGCTTGGCCCTGTGTCTAAGCTGTGCAACTGTGACTGTCACTAGCTCTGCCTCAGGACTCAAGGAGCCAATCTTCTGTCACACCTCCTGGGCATGTCCCACCCAGCCACGTGGCCTGACTGCAGTCATGCCTGAAGCAGTCTCAAATCATCTCTGCCCCAGGACAGGAGAGCAGTGGCTTGGAGCAGGCTCTTCTCCCTGCCTGTCTTTAAGGACATGCCGTTCTTATTTCTCAGGGGACAGACCTGTGTCCCCTGGGAACCGAGAAGACTTCTTTCTTTGCCTACAGAGGGAAAACGATGTGCTTTAGTTTTTCCATTCCTTCGACATTCATTTTTCAGCATGAGTTCCCATACTAGCTCAGTGGAGACATGAGATGAACTGTCCCTGCCCTTGCGGACCCAGAAAGAAGCTGATGTTCCTGGCCTTGGGAGGCAGTGGGGCCGAGGGGGCTCTCAGACCGGAAGCAGGCAGGCCAGTCCGCCCCAGCAGCACGCCCTAGTTGTACGCCTTCAGGAGGCCATTCCCCCTGAGCCTCCATTCCCTCTTTTGTAGAGAGACCCTACTCAAGGTTCTGATAATGAAGAGAGGTACAACTTTTTAAGGTGTGAAAATTTTTTAGTATGCAAATTGCCATTTTTAAAGAACACTAGAATTCTAGACTTTAAAAACTCATTCATGAATGCAGTGTGTGCCTGGTGCTGAACAGCTGCTCAGAAATGATCAGTTAGATCATGCAGTTTGGTCTCATGACAAGGAAGAAATCCACAAAACCAACAAGTTATCTTCATCACGGACAGAAAATGTGTGTGCGCTTTCCCGGCTACTGACTTTCCACTGCACATAGCCTCAAAAGTGTAGAACCATCTTTGAGCTAAACATTGGGACATCCAAATTCTAGCGTGGAACCAGGGCCAGTTACTCTCTGGTCCTCAGTCTCTTTGCTTATAAAATGTGGAGAAAGAAAGAGCCCCCCGAAATAATTTATTCCAGCTCCTAAGCTTAGTTGTTTGGACGGCTGCCTCCTTGCTGATTTCTCAACAGCACAGGGAATTGACTTGTTCCTAGGATTAGTGGATGGTACTCTCTGTTCCACTGGGCAAATGCAACTTTCCGGGACTCTCTGCTTCCTTCTCTCCTAAGAGGGAAACAGCTTCGGCCTCTGGTTCCCCTTCTTCCTGCCCAGCACCCTCACTCCTTTCTCTTCTCCCTCAGGGTTGGGCCCCTCGTTGCCCTCCTTGCTGCCCACTCTGCGACTGTGCCTGTGCGTGCCAACTTCCTGACTGCCAGAGCCTCAACTGCCTCTGCTTTGAGATCAAGCTCCGATGAGGACCCGAAGTCCCTGCCCTCTGGGGATTGGCCAGCCCCCAGGGCCCACATGCCCTCTTCCCTGAGGGGCCTCAGGACTGCAGGCCGCTGAGACCACAAATGGGCTGCCTGGCTCCCTGGCCTGGGAACCAGCAGTGGAGAACTTGGTTCTCAGCACAGTAAGACCCTGGAGCCCTTGGCCAGCTAGACTGCAGCCCCTTCATAGGGCCCACAGAGAGAGGGGCTAGTGTTCTGTCTGGCAGATGCCCCTGCCCTCCTTTTCCTATCCCCAAGTAAGCTCAAGTTTGAAGGTGGGGGGCCCCCAAGTTTAAGGGTGGGGACCACTGTTAACCATAGACAGCATTATGGGAGGAACTTGGGCCTTAAGTATCAGGATATAAGGGTACCCTAGCATATAGATCCCTAAATATAGATCCCTGCCAGGCAATCCACGGGCTCTTGGTTATTTTGAGGTGTGAGCGTAATGCCTGCATCTGCTCTCCCTCGAAAGAAATGGGTTCCAACCCTGACTGGTGTGGATCAGTGGGTTGGGCCTCCGCCCACAAAGTGGAAGATCACGCAGGTTCGATTCCCGTTCAGGGCACAATGCCTGGGTTGCAGGCTTGGTGCTGGAAGGCAACTGATCGATGTTTCTCTCATGCATCGATGTTTCTCCCACTTTTCTGTCCTTCCCGTGTCTCTAAAAATAAATCAGATCTTTAAAAAAAAGAAAAAGAAGTGGGCCCCAGAGGTTTGTAACAGCCCCCACCAGAGCCCAGTGGGATGGGCAGGAAATCAGAGGAAGAGGCAGGGAGGGCCACGTGATGAGTCCCCTTTACCCTTCTCTCCCCACAGATCCTGTCCAAAGATTTGTTTCCCTTTTGAGGGCCTCTGTCTGGATTTCCAAGGAAGACATTTCCTCTGAAGTACCCTCACGGAGGGAACCTGGTGAGTGGGCAGGGGGCCCTCCCCCACCCTCAAAATAGGGCAGGCCCGCAGCTCCCTCCCCCTTTTCTCACTCTGGGCCCCATGCTGGCTTGAATGTCAGGAGCTTCAGGTTTCCCTAAATATAGATCCCTGCCAGGGAATCCGTGGTGAGGAAAGGGCAGGGGTCACTGAAGAAGGTTGGGGACATAGTTTGGGGGAGGGCAGGAGCTGCCTTTATAACCCAGCCCGGTTCTGCCTGGCTCACTCGCTGCTGACCAGGCTCTGCCCGACTCTTTGGTCTCCTCCATCCAGGTGGGCCCCAGGTGGACACGGCTGGGGTGGGATTAGCAGGGGAGACCTAGAATGAGGGGAGAGGGGCTCAGAATGTATCTGGGAGGCTGACCAGAGCCAGACCGATTTTATTGGTAGTGAGATGTCAGGGCCAAGGGAGAAGTTTCACAGGGGCTCTGACTTGCTTGGGCCGAGCACAGCCGGCCACTTGCCTTATGGTCTGGCTTTGCGTGGCGGCGGGGCTTCAGGCAGGTCGGCCCCTGACAGAGCACGGACAGGCCGGCCCAGGCCGGTGGCCCCTGGAACCTGACAGGCATCAGTGGGGCACGGTTGGGGCGGGTCACCCAGAACCGCTGCCCGCCTGGCTTCCTGCCAGCCTGGCCACCTCCTTGCGCTGTTTCCACTCGCCGCCTTTTCCTCGGCCTCTTACTCCTGGGCCAGTGACACAGGGAGGGGCGTCCTCGTGTCCTAGAGCCCACCAAGTCCAGCCTGCAGTCGAGGCCGCCGGACCTAACTCTCGATTCAGCGACTACTTGACACACACTGCACTCAGCATCAGCGTACAGTCGGAAGCTGGGGCTGAGCCCAGCCTGGGAGGGGAAGCTGAGCTTCGGTCTTCTCGGGCTCCTCCACCCGCACGCCCGCCCCACCGCCCCACCGCCCCACCAATCCCCATACCCTCCGGCGCCCAATAACGGCTGAGTCACGGTGGCCCAGAGTGCGTCAGGCTGGGAGGAAGGGAAGAGGGGAGGGTCCGGACCCGCGCGGGATGTGGCCCGAGTCACGTCCGTGGAGATTTCGGGGGAGGGATCTTGTTCTCTCCGCCTCCGGGCTTCGCCTTTGGGGGGCGGTGGCTCCCACAGTTCCTCGCCTGCGATTGGACGATCTTCCGCCTCCGGCCCCAGCAAAAGGAAAAAAAAAAAAAAAACCGGCGGAGGGTGGAGCGGTGTGCTCGGAAGGGGCGGCACCACCTCCCTCTCCTTCCTCCCCGCCCCTTGTACCGCCCACATGGTAGCTTAATAGGCAGCGTTCCTCTTGGAACGCGCTGCAGAATCAGGGAAGTAGTGACGACTGCTGCGTTCGTTCCCTCGGTCCAAGTCGCCATCCCGCCGCCCTCCACCGCTGCACCGCCCAAACCCGCCCCTTTCCAGTGCCAGGTGAGCGCTTTTCGCCACGTGCGAGGGTCGAGGACCATGGAGAAGGATCCTGGGGCTGTGGCGGGTCGGGAGAGCCCCCTGAACCCGATCCTAGCATCATCCGCCCCCCACCCCTGCCCCTCCGCTCCACACACACACACAGACTCCCAGCCCAGACTCCCAACCCTCTGTGGCTGGAGCTCACTCGGTTTACTGCGCAATGCGGAGGTTCTGCGCGCTGAGTCATGGCGGGGGAGGAAGCAGGACGAGATGAAAGGCCATCCCCTTTTCTTGCCGGGACCCCTGGTGCAAAGGATTATGGCTCCTTTGCCTCTGCAGGGATTTTAAGAGGCAGAGAGGGGTGGGGGCCAGCTCAAATACTGTGTTAGGGTTCCGAAAGTGGGTGGTTGGCTCCTGTCCTGGGAGACTGGCGCCCCTGGCGAGGAGGTGACAACTCTTGGCAAGGCCCGTCGCCCCATTAACACTTTCCCTGTCTTTTCTTATCTGGTGACCTTGATTCTGAGCCTGGACAGCTGCAGCCCTGCAACGAGACGGGAGCATGTTTCAGGGGGAAGGGGTGGGGCGCTTGCCTCTCCTCCACACTCTTACCCTGCATGAGCAGTGAGATCGGCAAACCTTACCCCTTTCCTTGTCCTCGGGCTGGGCTTCCTCTGCTGCCCTTTCCTTGGCTCTGATTTCCTACCGTTTTCTCAACACCCTTTTCCTAATGCCCTCCCCCACCCTGGGATGGAGAAGCCTGACCTTGGGATGTCCTTGAGGCCTTGGTGCCTGTTCAGCTGTGGGATCTTGGGTGGATTGGAAGGAACCCTCCTGTGGCAGTCAGGAGATCTGGGTTCTACTCTCAGATCTGGCCTTTGGATTGCTGTGTGACTTGAAGTATACAGATCTTTCTCTTCCCCGAGTCCTTTTAGATGAGGGGGTTGGGCCCCCTGCCTTACGCAAGACCTCCATATTCTGAAAGACTTCGGTTCGATTTTGCTTCTAGGCAAGGTGACCCCATGGCAAGTCGCAAGCCGGAAGGGTCCAACTTCTACATGAGCCACCTGTCCATGGCTCTGGCCTATTCCTTTACCCCAGATGTCAGTGTGCAACCCCACCCTCAGCTGGGCCACTCCCAGCAACATACAGAGTTAGGAAAGGTACAGGAGGCAGGTCTAATATAGGGAAGTTGGGTGTAGGGGAGAGCTGGGGACAGGAGGTGCCCCAAAACCTGCTGGGTATGGGGCAGGGGAGGTAGGGAGCCTTTGCCCTGATATCCGGGCAAGGGGCCCCGCTCACTGGGACACCACAGAAAGACCCCACTAACTAGTGCTCCCCCTGTCTCCTCTGCCCAGAAACCGACTGGCACCATGCCCTACCAATACCCAGCACTGACTCCGGAGCAAAAGAAGGAGCTGTCTGACATCGCTCAGCGCATTGTGGCTCCGGGCAAGGGCATCCTGGCTGCAGATGAGTCCACTGGTATGGGCAGGACACAGTGTGGGGAGGGCCCAGGGTCGGGAGTGACAGGCCGATTCCCTTAAGACCGTGTGCTGCTCCCTTCCAGGGAGCATTGCCAAGCGGTTGCAGTCCATTGGCACTGAGAACACCGAGGAGAACCGGCGCTTCTACCGCCAGCTGCTATTCACTGCCGATGACCGTGTGAATCCCTGCATTGGGGGTGTCATCCTCTTCCATGAGACTCTCTATCAGAAGACAGATGATGGGCGTCCCTTCCCCCAAGTTATCAAATCCAAGGGTGGTGTTGTGGGCATCAAGGTGAGGAGGCTGGGCCTCGGGGTGTGAGATCTGAGATGAGTCGGGGAAAGAGAAATCCAGAGTAATAGGCTAGGGGGGCAAACGTTGGGCTGGGAGCCTGGAGACTTGGGTAGAATCTGCCCCAGATCCATGTAAGGAAAGATAGAAACTGTGCACCCTGCTTGGTATTTTTAACCCTTGAAGTTCTAAGAGCAAGGCATTATCCTCACTCTACAGATGAAAAACAGAAGCTCAAGCCAGGGAAGTGTTTTGATCACAGAATTAGGAAGTAGCAGGAGCCCGGGCTCTTGTCAAATAACAGCCCCATATATCCTGCCTCCTAGGCTCAGGTGCTGTAACTACATGAAAACATTTGCAGACCAGGAGACGCCACTTGAGAGATTAAGGTGGGGGGCAGAGTAGGGCTCTTAGAGCAGAAAAGGATAGCAGAGATCACTTACCTGTCTTACGTTGTTCCACCCTAACAGGTAGATAAGGGTGTGGTACCCCTGGCAGGGACAAATGGTGAGACTACCACCCAAGGTGAGAACTGTTTGGCATCCTGCCCTACCAGCCATCCCACCCAGTTGGTGCCCCTCTGGGTGCCCAGGGTAAGTGGGAGCCACCTGTCCCCTCTGCCATGCTGACTTCTACATTCCCTCTCCAGGGCTGGATGGGCTGTCTGAGCGCTGCGCCCAGTACAAGAAGGACGGAGCTGACTTTGCCAAGTGGCGCTGTGTGCTGAAGATTGGTGAACACACCCCTTCGTCCCTTGCCATCATGGAAAATGCCAACGTTCTGGCCCGTTATGCCAGCATCTGCCAGCAGGTGGGCTTGCATGTCCTCTGCAGGCTAGCTCCCACCTCGTTTGGTTCCAGAGGGTCAGCTGGACTACCACCTATCTGCCAAGATAGCTACATCCCCCAAGGCATCAACTGTTTCACATCCTTACTAGTCACCAGGTTTGGTCCTGGGGACTCGGAGCACAGGGGCAGGAGAGGGCTCTTGTGGGTGAATCTGAGGACATCCTGTTTCCTACAACCCTGCAAAGCTGAGTCTCTGTCTTCATGGAGATAAGACCTTGGCCACTGGCTCTGCAGAGCTATAGGTCGGGCTCCAGTTTAGGAGGTCTCCTAACAGTTCTGTCCCCTCACTCCACAGAATGGGATTGTGCCCATTGTGGAGCCTGAGATCCTCCCCGATGGGGACCACGACTTGAAGCGCTGTCAGTACGTAACTGAAAAGGTAGGTTACTTGCCTGCCTGGGCAGTGTGGTGGGTTAGGTAGCTGGACCGTGGGCTCTGGGGCTGACTCCGGTCCCCACTTTGGTCCCACTTTGGTCCTGCCCTAGGTGCTGGCTGCTGTCTACAAGGCTCTGAGTGACCACCACATTTACCTGGAAGGCACCTTGTTGAAGCCCAATATGGTCACCCCAGGCCATGCCTGTACCCAGAAATTTTCTAACGAGGAGATCGCCATGGCAACTGTCACTGCGCTGCGCCGCACAGTGCCCCCTGCTGTGCCTGGTGAGTCCCATACTCTCAGATTGCTCTCTGAGAGATTGTACCCACAATCCTTATGCCCATTGGTGTGATTTCCAGGTCAGCTTCTAGGAACTCCTGCCAGTGCCCGGAGTCTTTGACTACAGTCCCTCCTGCCATTTCACCCTTTGTTTTACAGGGATCACCTTCCTGTCTGGAGGTCAGAGTGAAGAGGAGGCATCCATCAACCTCAACGCAATCAACAAGTGCCCCCTGCTGAAGCCATGGGCCCTGACCTTCTCCTATGGCCGAGCCCTGCAGGCCTCGGCCCTGAAGGCCTGGAGTGGGAAGAAGGAGAACCTGAAGGCTGCCCAGGAGGAATATGTCAAACGAGCACTGGTGAGGATGAAGCAGGAGGTGGGGGGAGTGCTGGGGTGGGTGGGATTCTGAGAACAGAACTGCTTACTCTGGCTCCTCTCCCCTCTTAGGCCAACAGCCTCGCCTGCCAAGGAAAGTACACCCCAAGCGGTCAGGCCGGGGCTGCGGCCAGCCAGTCCCTCTTCATCTCTAACCACGCCTACTAAACAGAAGTGTTCTAAGGCTGCCCCCTCAACACTCCAGGCCCCGCCCCCTCCCACACTCAAACTTGAAGAGGGGGCCTCATCAGGGGCTCCAGGCTGCTGTCTCCCACTCTTGCCTTCTTTGTGACACTGGTGCGTGGTGTTTCTGTGTATGCTAATTCCAGCGCTCTTTCCAGCCCACTGCCAATAAACAACTATTTAAGGGGGAGTTTCTTGTCCCTGTCTATAGTGTCTGGGTCAGGGGAGGGCCCAGGGGGATGGCAGAGTCCAGAAGACAGGCCTTTTTTCTTTCTTTTTTTTTTTTTTTTTAAGATTTTATTTATTTTTAGAGAGGGGAAGGGAGGGAAACATCAATGTGTGGTTGCCTCTCACACACCCCCCTAATGGGGACCTGGCCCACAGCCCAGGCATGTGCCCTGACTGGGAATCAAACTGACAACCTTTTGGTTCACAGGTTGGCATTTAATCCACAGAGCCACACCAGTCAAGGCAGAAAGAACCCTTGTTTCATGTTCTTCTTAGGCAGGGAAAAGGGTAAAGGGTGGGGTAGGCATTTCCTTCTTTGTTTTATAATTGCCCAGGGCTTCAAGGGGAGAGCTTGTGAAATTTTCTTCAAACCACCAAGGTCTCTTATCTCCTCTACCAGCAGCATCAGATAAGGCTCATAATGGGAGAGTGTATGTAAACTGCCTGCTGTGTGAGAGAGACTACAGGGCCAGTCTCACTTCCAGGCCAAGAACTCACAGGGGGTGGTTCTTATGACAAAACAGCCACTGATGAAAGTCAAGATTTCCAGAGTCTATGAGCAGGCAATGTAGTGTTCTATATGAGTAGGTGCCATTATCATTGGTGGAAACAAGACTATTAATGCATATCTCCATCAACACTGTTGAGCTTGTCCATCTTCCCATCTGAATAGGAAATGGGATTAGAGCTGGCTTCTTAGTCGTCTTGAGCGGTGGAACCCCGTGAAGAACCTGGAATCTTCTCTGACACCTCAACATTGCAGACACAAACACAGAACTCAGGTTTCAGGTTAAGAACTGATCCTGTAACTGCTGCATTCTGTGAAGCCAGAGTGAAGGCCATGCACTTTTCCCTATGCCATGCCTTAAACCCTTCCCCAATAGGGTGGGGTGCAGCAGTATACACCAGAGAGTCTCAGTTGATAAAACATCCTAGTCATAACCAGGGACCTAGTATTCCTGCCACTTCCCAAATTTCCTGATATGGGTGCTTTTCTGTCTGAGCTCCCTGCAGGGAGGAAAAGAATATCCTGACCTTTCTGATTTCTCTGAACCTACCAAATCCATGTAGTGATAGGCACGGAACCAATTTACCTAGGACCTTCTAGGAGTTTAAGAACTTGATTCTTTGCACATTTCCATTTGTTGCTTATATACAAAACCAACCTCTCCTAGTACCCCTCAAAACTTTAGCCCTCACTTCTGTGCCTACCGTTAACTCTGAAACATCTGAAATAAGGCACATGAAAATTGAAGGTCAATATGATGTAGCTCAGTGGATAGAGTGTGGGCCTTCAAACCAAAGGATCGAGGTGTAATTCCCAGTCAGGGCACGTGCCTGGGTTGCAGGCCAATTCCCAGCAGGGGACATATGAAGGGCAACCACACATTGATGTTTCTCTCCCTCTCCTTCCCTTGCCCTCTAAAGATAAATAAAATCTTTAAAAAAAAAAATCGAAGGTCAGTAGAAGATAGTGAAAAGGACATTCCAAAAGGTAGCCTGTGCAAGACACCATGAAGTTTGCTTAAAGGTTAAAGGGACTAGGGAAGCAGAGAAAGTCAAATAACACTTCAGGCAGTCTTGAACTTTTTAGGACAAAGTGAGTTCCAGAAAGTCTTACTAACAGCTTCCCTGGGTTGAAATTTCAACCTTAATTCAAACCCCAAATGCAAACATGAACAAGTTACTTAACCTCTCTGAACCAGTTCCCTCCTTTAAGAAAAAAAAAAAAGAAACAATAGAAAGCAATTTAGGGTTACCATTCTGTAATCTGGGAGGCCATGTTGACTGAGGTACAAGCTTGGCGCACTCCTTTCTGCCTCTAACTTCAGAGGTCCTCCCTGGCGGAGATTTTGTGTGTGTGTGTGGCAATGGAGAGAGAATTAAGCTGATATCCCTTCATTCATTGAATAACTACTTATGTATGCCTACTGTGCCAGGCCTTATTCTAAGCAGTGGGGCTGCAAGGATGAACCAAAATTCCATTCCTCAGAGATTGTAATGGAGGAGGCCGCTTAAAACACGTAAACGTGTAACAGAAAGTTACAAAGCAGAGAGCCCCGGCTAAGCTTCAGTTTCCCTGAGACTGGAGGTGACTCTGCTAAGGTGTCTCAGAGTGACAATCCACCTGGCCCATAATAACTTGCGCCCGCAAGGGGCTGACGTCCAATCCCTCCGCCTCATTTACGTTCTTAGGCTCGGGAGGTGGGGTTAGGGGCGCGGCGTGGGAGGGGGAGGGTGTGTATGACGCCACATCCGACGCGCGGCGGAACTGCACTTCCCTTGCTGCCGCGGCGGGGCCGGAAGTAGAAGCGGGGGTGGCGGCGGCGCAAAGCTGAGGGAAGTAGGAAGGCAGGGAGCCGGAGACCCGGAGCCAAAGTCACAGCGGCGGTAATAGTCGGAGACCCCTCTAGGCCACCGTCCCTAGCGCGGGACCGCGGGGTTTGATAGGAATTAGCAGGGAGCAAGCAGGGCGGTGGGACGCTGTGAGGAGAGGCTGGGGGAGGGGGGCGGCCCAGCTCAAAATAGTTGCCCTCCCCCCCAGCCCGCTCTAAACCCTGAGACCCTGAAGGGACATTCTTATCCCGGCTCGTTGTCGTCGCCTTTCCCAGGAGACCCCTGTGCGGTGCGGAGGGGGCGGCGGCCCCGGCTCTGACCCGCGCCGGGGGAGGGGTTGGGGTTGGGCCATGGCGGAGATCAGCGACCTGGACCGGCAGATCGAGCAGCTGCGGCGCTGCGAGCTCATCAAGGAGAGCGAAGTCAAGGCCCTGTGCGCCAAGGCCCGGTGAGTCCCCCGGCGGTGTGGAAGGGGTTCCGCTGCCCAGGGGTTCTGGCCTAGGGCGTATCCAGCCGAGAACTTTGGGCCTGGCTTACCCTGGAAACATTCCCAGAAAAGAACAGACTAGGGCCACTTCCCTCGAAGAGCAACCAGCCTGTAGCGGGGAGACAGACCTGGGTAAAGACACTTAAAGTATTAGGTAATGTGTTTTCAGTGAAGTTAGAGAAGGTAGTTAAGAAGCTCAGAGAAACAACTCTGTCGGTTGGGGCAACAGGGAAAAGATTTTTGGAGGAACTGAACTTCGGGGGTAGGCCTTCAGGAATGAGATGGAAAAAAGAGAGTGCCAGCAAGAACAGAAGTTCAAGGCGGAAAAGCTAAAGACTCTGGTTTATAAAATACTTTTAATTTCAGCAACAACCCTTAAAGTTGGGTAGTGGTCTTCCCATTTTACAGATGAGGACTCATGTTACGAATCAACCAGCAAATAGGGGATGGAGTCTGAAGCCAGTTCTCTGTCTTCTGTCCTTTTCAAGCCATAACGCACGGTGGGGTTGGATCAGTTTGGGAGCCTAAGACGTAGTAGAAAGTAAGCCAGAGTGGAATTAAGCATCATAAAGAGGGAGGCCCAACTCAAGAGTTTTGTGGGAGGTAGGATGATGTAGTGATTAACATCCCAGGCTTTGGCCCTAGCTGAGTGGCTCACTTGTTTGGAGTATTGTCTCGAACACCAAAAGATTGTGGGTTTGATCCCTGATCAGGGCACATACTAGGATAGGTTGCAGTTTCAGTCCTCAGTCACGGTATGTACAGAAGGCAACCAATCCACAGTTTTTACTCTATCTATATTTCCTCTCCCCCCACTACCCCCCACCCTTTCACTTTCTCCCTTCAAAAAAATCAATCAACATATCCTTAGGTAAAGGTTAAAAAAAAATTCCACGCTTTAGGATGTCGTGGCTGTCAATCAGAATCTGAGCTCTGCAACTTAGAAGCTGTATTGGTGATCTTGAGGTCTCTGAAACTCAGTTTTTTCATCTGCAAAGTGGGAGTAATAGCACTTAATAAGGTGATTATCATCAATTAAGTTAGTGGATGAAGTTAGCATAGTGCTTTCATACAGTGTAAGTGCACAACAATCCTTAGAAGTAATTATTATTATAGAACTGTGTAGAAAGAGTGCAATACTGGTGTGCTGATATGGACTGAAGACATCAGGGAAGGCTTCTAGGAGAAGGTGGCCTTGAAAGATGAAATTAATTTGGATAGCTAATGGTTACAGGGCCAGTGAGGAAGGCATTTCAAGCAGAATGACAGTAGGAGTGGAGACCCCGAGAAATGACAGTAGTGAGGAGACCAGTTAGTTATCTGCTTCCTCCCAGTTATCTGCTTCCTCCTGTCTGACTGGCTTCCACAAGCTGGACAGTTGTGAGAAAAGAGCCAGCAGAACTACCCTACATTTATTGAACTACAGGCCCAAATAGATATTAGTGTGGCTTTGTCCTGGCAAAGACTTTCTACCCATTTTCTTCCTGCAGCAATCTTGTGAGGTTGGAATTGTTTGCTCCATTTTACAGAACGGGAGGCCATGACTCCCAGAATCCTAGTGACTTGACGAAGGTCACCCAGAAAGAAAGTGACAGAGCTGTGTTCTGCACTTTTGGCCATCAGGCTCTTTACTTGGCTTCACCCCCACTGCACCCCAGACCTGTAGCTCCCTGCATGGGTTTGGTGAACAGGCAAAGCTTCTTTTTAAATAGTTGTCTGTGGCTTTTCCTTGTTTTGCTTGCTTCCTCTGTCTTGAATGGCATTTTTAGGAACTTAAACCAATGCTGCCTGGCACCATTTTTCTTCCCAAAAGTCTTATCTCCCCCTACTGGACCTGGGTCAATTTGGTGGTGATGGTAGCTAATGCTTGTATAGCGTGGTGGAGTTTCTAGACTAACAGAGAAGATTTTGTGTGTGTGTGTGTGTGTGTGTGTGTGTGTAGAGAGAGAGAGAGACAGACAGACAGACATTTTCTCCATTGTTCTTTGCTCCAGCCCAGTGAATAGGCGAGGCAGGGTTAAGTTTCACCAAAGAGAAAACCAAGCCTCAGAGAGGATAATGTCTTGCTCCCAGTCTCACAGCTGGTTGGAGGGGAGGTTGGTTTTGGATCCAGGTCTTTTACTATACTTCATGCTCATGGACAGCCAGGCAGAGATATTTGGGGTGTGTGAGAGCTTGTGGGGAGCTACAGAGAACTGGTGTGGGAAGGTTCTGCCCAGCTGAAACTGAGATGGAGCTAGGAGGTACTAGACTGAGCCTGAGTTGGCCACTGTCATCCCAGGCCCAGTCGGAAGAAGGGCCAGTTCTAGCACCCGGCCATGGCACCTCCTGGGGACCCACCAGGGACCCAGACCAAGGCCTGAAGTGTCATGAGCTTCAGCTTGCTCAGAGGGCATACAGACTCAAACCCTGGGAATTACAGAGGCCTGAAGTATGTGTCAGCCTAAAAAGTCAGCATATTCGAAAGGCAGGCTTTTTTTTTTTTTTTTTTTTTTTTTAATATTCACCCAAGGATATATTTACTGATTTCAAGAGAGAAGAAGGGAAAGAGAAACACTGATGTGGAGCATCATGGGTTGCCTTCTGTACATGCTCTGACTGGGGATCAGACCCGCAACCTTTATGGTGTATGAGACGATGCTCCCACCAACTGAGCGACCCCGCCAGGGCTGAAGAGCAGAGGGTTTTGAATCCGGTGGTCCTCAATGTGAATTCCATCTCTATGAACAGTGTGACCCTGGTCAAGTCATTTTACCTCTCCAAGTCTTTGAAACCATTATGAAACTCAGTGACATTCTTCATATCCAGGGACAGGCCCTGGCACTTTGGTAAGCAGTTACGAAAGTCATGTTAGTTGTGGAAGTAAAGGTGAGCAGGTGTGAGCCTTGAGAGGGCTGGTGATGTGCTTGCTGCAAGTGACAGAGATGGGGTCGGAGGCTGGACCTGATACCAGACCATGCTGGGGCCTTACCAGCACTAGGGTGGGGTTTTGACCTGGAGTTTGGGAGGGGCTGGCATAAATTCTCATGCAGTTGGGCTCCTGGGTTTCAATTCAGACATTCCTCCAGCCTTGGGCCTTGATTCTGCCCCTCTTTTCTCTAAGCCTCAGTTTCTTTATTTGTCAGATGAGGGTGAAAAGAAGCTTCCTAAGTCAGTTGGAAAGGTTATTATAAACAGTATAAAGGATATTCAACACAAGTTATAGTACAGGTGGGAGAGCCTGGTTGCTGCGTGACTCCTGAGACTACAGCTAGTGCCTTCTCCCACTCCCAGAAAGCCAAAGCACACCTCCCTGAAGCTGCCTTTGTTATGAAGAGTACCCTGAGGGACAGGGATGGGTAGGAAACCCTGAGTTGAGAGGGGCCTCCTCTAGTGGGAGGAGATGGCAGAAAGAGTGAGGGCTGAGCAAGTGCCTGGGCCACATCAGAGTGACCTGATGAAAGAGCTCCATACTCTGGAGCCAGGCTGCCTTGGTTCAAGTTCCACCTGTATGACTTTGACCATTTTCTTCATCTGAGACAGGAATGATCACAGTGCCTGCCTTTGAGGGTGGTGGTTTGATTGCATGCATCATCCATGAAAAGCTCTTACTACAGCTGCTGTTATCATCAAGGATAAAATCTGGAAATAATAGCACTACTTAAATTGGGTGTCTGAACCTGACATTGGTTTTGTGTCATGCTCACTGAGGTAGAAGTAGACTGCACTGCAAGGAGAGGTGAAAGGGTGAAGTCCTCACTTCCTCTAAATAAATAATGAAAAAGTAGCAACACTGTATCACTTTGAAGATTAGTTTGATGACTGGCCTGCTCAGGACAAGTGCCTGTATGTGTTCTGACATGCTTGGAACAGCCCCCTGTGATGGGCAGAGAGGGACTGCAAGCGCTCAGCCAGGGGCACAGCCTCGGGACACTCCAGGCTGAGGGAGCAGGGAGAGCCGAGGGCTCTGTGGGAGAGGAGGAGATCTGTTTTCTGGGAGTGCTGGATGCATGAAAGGGAGCAGTGAGGTTGGGGGTAGTCAAGGCTGGGAAAGTCCCAGCCCACTTGGGAGGGCTTTGAGACCTGGAACAAGTGTTTGGCTCTGGCCTGTTGACAGTAGGGGAACCATGGGTGTTGAGAGCAGTGGGGGCCATGGTCAGCCTGTCCTGGGGAAACTGCACACCTCACTCCTGCCCTGTAGAGTTCAGGGACTGCCGCATACCCTTCCCTCCCCCCCCCTAAAAAGAGGTCAGGGATTGGGCTGGGCTGGGCTGGCTGTGGTGACCCTGGTCTTTTGTCTCCAGAGAGATCTTGGTAGAGGAGAGCAACGTGCAGAGGGTGGATTCGCCAGTCACAGTGAGTACTCTCTGTCCCTCCAGAGCCTGGCTAGGTCCTTCAGGCACAAATACATTCCCAGTAGTCTTTTGGGTTCTCTCATCCTTGGGAGCCCCATGTTCAAGGAACCCTCGCTATAAGAAAGGGATGTTTTGGGAAGGGTCTTTTGATTTGTTGGAGGGATACTCTTGGTCAGGGCTTTTAATTTGGTGAGTGATTCTACGCCATGTGTTCTTTGTTATTAGTAACTTCATTCTGGGTACCTTAAGGGAAGTAGGGAAAGGAAGGGCCAGGTCCTCCAGGTTCAGAGATCCAGCTGGAAAGACCTGGCTCTAGTTCTTGCCCATGGAATAGTTGGCAACTCGGTGTGGGATGGAGGTTGATTCCAGACCAGGCTACCTGGGGTGGGAGAGTAGATTTTGGGCCCTGAGAATAGAGGCTTAGGCAAGAATGATAATTCGAAGATAGCACCCAGGAGCAGAGGCTTTCAGACTGAGGTCCCATCCACCTTCTCATTTCCCAGGTATGCGGTGACATTCATGGACAGTTCTATGACCTCAAGGAGCTGTTCAGAGTGAGTGTGGGTGAAAGCTGGGGAGGGTGAGCTGGAGGGTTGACTGGAAGGCCCCTTTGAGAGGGAGAGTTTGAATTTGGTGAGTGGAATGGGGGCAAGAGGACTCTAGTTAGGTGGGCCCTTTGTGGGAGAAGGGCTTCAACTTGACTGAAAATGGGCCACAGTGGGGAGTAGGGGACAGTTTAGGACCAAGCAGAACCTTCTCCCTCCCCCCAGGTGGGTGGCGACGTCCCTGAGACCAACTACCTCTTCATGGGGGATTTTGTGGATCGTGGTTTCTACAGTGTTGAAACGTTCCTCCTGCTGCTGGCACTTAAGGTGGGAACTGCTGTCTTCTGGAGCCCAACCTGGGCCGCCTCAGGCCTGACCAGTCTGCATCCTTTTCGCCCTCCTCTCCTGCTTCATCCACCCCCAACTCTGAGCTGTGCTGCTGGTGATGACAGATTCTGCTTGGCAGGGTGGTCACGGAAGCTTTCCTTGACTTGGGGCCATGTGATTGGGCCCCTAGAGGATGAGGTCAGAGGAGTGGCATTATAGGGGGAGGGAATAAAGGCTCTGTGTTCAGCAAGTGACAGGGGGTTGAGTTTATCTGGATACAGCATCCACTGGTGGGAGAGGTTGTAAGGGGCCAAATGACAAAGCACCTTGAATGTCTTCCTTAGGAGTTGATCTCTTATCTTGTAGGTAAAAGAGGAGCCATTAGGTCTGTAGTTGATGGGGTGGGGGGTCAGCTTTGTATTCTCTGGAGGAGGGACTGGGAGCCTATGATGTGGGTGTAACACCATTCGTACAAGAAATGACAGAGATGTCATCAGTCTGGGGCAGGGTGGTGGTGATGAGAATGGAGTGAGGCTGGCAGATCGGAGATCTAGGAGGGCGGGGCAGAGCCCCCCCCCCCCCCCCCCCCCCCCCCAACGCCTCAACCCCAGCCCTGGCTTGGGGTCATGTTCGCTATCCTCCAGGTTCGCTACCCTGACCGAATCACCCTGATCCGGGGCAACCACGAGAGCCGTCAGATCACCCAGGTCTACGGCTTTTATGATGAGTGCCTGCGCAAGTATGGCTCGGTGACTGTGTGGCGCTACTGCACTGAGATCTTTGACTACCTCAGCCTGTCGGCCATCATTGATGGCAAGGTAGGCTGACCACAGTGCTCCATGGAGGTGGGAGGGGTGAAAGGGGCTCTGGGCCGCAGCCTCCCCACCTTCCCGCTTTGTTCTCCCCTGTAGATCTTCTGTGTGCACGGGGGCCTCTCCCCCTCCATCCAGACCCTTGACCAGATCCGGACAATTGACCGAAAGCAAGAGGTGCCTCACGATGGTCCCATGTGTGACCTGCTCTGGTCTGATCCTGAAGGTGAGGGCAAGTGGGGCAGAGACAGCCAGGCATTACCCTTAGTTTGTCGAGAGACTAAGGAAGCCCTTTGGTTAAAGCAAGTACCTTGAAGGGACAGTCAGGCCAGGTAAGTTGTGGAAAGAGTAGAGCAGGCTGGTCTTCACTGGTGTCCATGCTTGACCCGGGGACTGGCCGGCACCCTCAGAGCAGGAATGTGGGAGGCTGGGCACTTTGAGCTCTGATGGAATTAGGGCCGCATATGAGAGGCTTGTTTAAAAAAAAAACTGTTAGCTCTCTGTATGTACAGGGGCTTCTGTAGAGATCAGATACCTTGAGAACCCCTCATTTGTGGGGGTTCCCAGACTGGTATGGAGCAGAGCTGAGATTAAAAGTCAAGTATCCGAGTACCAGTCCAAGGCTCCTTGTCCTGTACCGCACACAGCCTCCATCTCACAGCCGTGCCCGGCTGCCCTCTTCCTACTCCCAGACGGCCCTTGTTCACACTTGCTGTGCTGGTGAGGTTCTTAGGGGCACCTCCTTTCACTCTCCTGTGCCTAGTCGGACAGTAAGTTGCATGGTCACTGTGACTATGAGGTGGCTCCAACTATCAGGAAAGTCTTTCTTCATTGGAGCTTATCTGCTTCAACATTTGCTTCCTGTCTCTCAGGACACCCCCGCCTCCTGAACACATGCAGGCCCTGTCCTCTTGCCCCACGGGGCTGATTGGGGGAGGGGGGTAGGATATTCTTCGAAGGGCAGAGGGCAGTCAGAGAAGCCTTGAGATGTCTCTCTATGTGTACCTTCATTTGCCTCAGATACAACAGGCTGGGGTGTGAGCCCCCGTGGGGCTGGCTACCTATTTGGCAGTGACGTGGTGGCTCAGTTCAATGCAGCCAACGACATTGACATGATCTGCCGTGCCCACCAACTGGTGATGGAAGGTTACAAGTGGCACTTCAATGAGACTGTGCTCACTGTGTGGTCAGCACCCAACTACTGCTACCGGTGAGCTGCATGGGTCAGGAGGTCACAATGGGGGTGGGGGACCTCAGCTGACACACACTAACTGCTGCTCTCCAACCACAGCTGTGGGAACGTGGCAGCCATCCTGGAGCTGGATGAGCATCTCCAGAAAGATTTCATCATCTTCGAGGCCGCTCCCCAAGAGACGCGGGGCATCCCCTCCAAGAAGCCTGTGGCTGACTACTTCCTGTGACCTTTTGGTCCCTGCCCTCCCCCTCCAGCCCCTCTGGCCCTTGGACCACTGTGACGCTACCCTCTTCTCCAGATGGAGGCTGGGCATGGAGGGCTGTCCCCAGCTCTGCTCTCCCCGCAGAGGGCACTTCGATGGTGAGGACTTTCTCTGGAGAGGCTCGGAGCCACCGCTCCATGCTCCTCCTCTCCTTTCTTCCCACCTGAACCATGAAGTTTCCAATAATTTTTTTTTGTTTTTTGTTTTTTTGTTTGTTTGTTTTTAGATAAAAATTTTGAGAAAAAGAAAAAATTCTAATAGAAGAAATATGGTTTTTGGGTTTGTGTCAGACTTGATTGGGGGTGATAGTGTTGCTGGCCTGGGACCAGGATGTACCTGAGACCTTGACTGCCCTAGAGCCTCCATCCCCACAGGAAGGTGGGGCTCAGGCCATTTCACTTGCCCAGAGCTTCCTGGTCCCCATCTGCTGACCGTTCTAGGTAGAGGGCCGGGTTCTCAGAAATGGCCCTATTCTCAGAACAATGAGTGTCTCAGGACATTGATTCTGCCATTTTCTTGAAGAGGAACCAGGCCCAGAACAGGTGGACTTGCGCATGTGCACAAGATCAAGCAGCTGGAAACGGCAAGTCTTAGATCGGGGTGGGAGTCTCCCCACAAAAAAACTTTGCCCACCGAGTCCCTCCCAGGGCCAAACACCATTAGCCCAGAGCACTGATGTCTTTTCAGTTTTATTAACAAAAATACTCTGTTCCTGAGAACAGATTGGTGTGGCTCACAGTGGGGCCAGGAGATACGACTAGCTGAGCCCAAGGGTGAAGCCCAGGCGTGGGTAGTGCTGGCCCAAGGCCCCATTTGGCCAGGCAGAGCCTCCCTCTATTCACACTGAGGTGAAAGTCGGGAAGGGGAAGCTGGCCCCAGCTGGACTCTCAGCAGCTTAGCCAGAGCTTTGAAGCCAGATGGGGGTGGGAATGAAGTCAAAGTGTGAAGTGGGGTGGAAGAGGCCCAAGGCAGCCATTTGGTGTGGGGGGTAGGGCCAGTGGAAGTGAGGGAGCTATAGGCCTGGGGGAAGGGAACTGGAAGTTCGTGGTGAAAGGGTGAGGAAGGGAGACAGAGGGGCCTAACAATGGCTCAGTACATAGGTTTGGAGCCCACATCAAGGTAGGCCCCGGGCCCAGGGTAGGGTAAGGGCAAGGGACCCCCTTGGAGGAAATGGGAGGCAAAGGATGCTGGGTGTGCAGCTGCTGAGTATCCTGAGCCTCCTGGCCCAGACTGCAGCTCTAGGGATGCAGCTGAGTAGGGTGCCAGGCACCCAGAGTCTGGAGGCTGAGGAAAGCTGGGGTTCCTGAAGTGGAGAAAGGTATCAGAATAGGAGAGGGACTTACCCCCAAACTAGAACAACCCAGCCTTGTGCTCTTATTCCACTCACCTGGTTGGAAGGTGACTGGGGGCCCCATGGAAAGCTGCAGGGTGCAGAAGGTAGGCCTCGGCACTGGAGCTACCACGTGGAGGAGCTGGGGCAGGGGCAGCTTCCCTGAGTGCTGGGGCCTGCTCTGGATCTGACTCACGAGTATCTCCACCCAGTGTAGAATCGCAGGGACCACCTGGTGCATCTAGGGTGGCAGAAGAAATGGGTTGGGTTAAGGAGGTTCAGCGTCTGAGGCTTGGTCCCATCACCATTGGGACTGCACTCACCTCCACTCCCGTAGGCCTCTGTGGCTACTGGCTCTGGGCCCCGCAGTTTCCTCTTAACACGAGCATCTCGCTCCCTGAGAAATACAATGATAATAGCACCAGGTGCCCAGCATTCACCCTCTCAGGTACCCTATTAGGTTTTATTACTATACCCATTTTACAGAGGAAGGAACTGAAGGCCAGAGAATTAAATGACTAGAAAGTAAGCAGAGGTAGGACTTATTCCACACTTAGAACTTCTTGATGGTTTCCTATTGTATTTAGAGTCAGTGGAAACCTTCTAAAGCAGCTAGGCTTATCCTGCCTTTCTCTGGCCATCTCCACTGCCTTTCAGGCCCCTTTTTTGGCCCCTCTTCACCTGCCTAACTCATCCTTGTCTCAGTTTACATATAACTTCCCCCAAGACGTCCTCTGACCTCCCACAGCATCATACAGTCCCTGATAACATTTGTCAAGTTACACTGTTACATTTGTTAGGGTCATCTTTTGATTAATGTCTGTCTCTTCCCCAGCTCGGCTGTATTCAGAATAACAGCCAAGGTGCTAACTAAACCTCACTTCTGTCACTTCAGCCACAGCACAACAAATACATTTCCACCTTAGGGCCCTTGCACATGGTGGTTCCGCTCCCTGGCATGCTGTTCCTTAATATCCACGTGGCCCCCTTCCATACTTCCTTCAGGTGTTTTCTCACATGTCCCAGCGAGGCCTTTCCAGGCATCTTTGCTAATATCTCCAGTTCTTCCTGTCTTCCTTGCTTTATTTCTTTTATCTTTAGAACTTATCCCTAATATATATTTCTCCTGTTTAGTTGTCTACTCTGCCCACCAGATTATTCCATAAGAACAGGACTTTGGGTTATCTTATTCACTGAAGGAGCTATTGTGCCTAAAACTGTGCCTGGCACATAGTAGGTGCTAAATAAGTATTTGTTGAATCAATGAGTGAATAAACAGTGCCTGGCACATAGTGGACAATTAATAAACATTTGTTGAATGAATGAGTGAATGGTGCCCACCTCTTACAGTTTCTGCCATTCTCCCGGAAACCCTTGGCAAAGGGGTTGGCTGCAATCTTCAGTTGTGTGATCTGGGGGCACACATTCAGAGTCAAAGCTCCTGCAGCCTGGGCAGAGTGCCACCACCCCCCATCCCTGGTGATGTTAGGGTCCTTATTTTCTGGGCTGTACCCGCTCTGCCAGTGACTACAGTGTGACCTTGATTTTGAGTAAGTCTCTTTAAGGGCATGCTATATATAAATAGGCCACCGCCAACACAAGACAAGAAACACTCCCCCTCAAGCAGGGTCGCTCACCCGTGGGTTCTGGTAGGCTGTCACAGAGATGAACATGGTCTCAGGGAAGCGGAAGGAGGCGACGCCCGCCCAGTGTTGGCTGCAAAGCTGGGTGGCCCTCACCAGGTGTATGCGGGGCTGATACTTGTGCATGGAGTGCAAAATCAGCTGGGAGGGAAGAAACAGGAGTGACCCCTTACCCCGGGCCCCACGCCCACCCCCCACCTTGGGGGTCCCAGTGTGGGCCTCACGTGGCCATGAGGGTCCAGTGTGCTGTTGGTGAGCTTGACACGATGAAAAGACACAGGCTGCCGCATCCAGTGAGCACCAGTGGCAGGAGAGTCAGGGTGAATGTAGACACGGTCTGGCAGGCGGGGCTCTGCCTTGCCACTGGGCTCCCAGCGCCGACCCTGCCAGCGGTAACGAGCTCCATCCACTGGTACCACATCCAGAAGGAACAGGTAGCGGGCCTCGGGGTCCAGGCCAGTGACTGATACTCGGCAAGCAGGGAACATACGTCTGGATGGGGGAGAAGATAGGAGAGGCCTGGAGCAGCCCACCAGCCAGAGGCAGGTACAGCACCAGCAAGGGGACAGGGCCATTGGCTCAGAGTTTTGTCAAAGAACATTCAAGCTGGAGTTAGACCCAAGGGCAGGGTCTGGAAGCTTATTTCATTCCACTTTTATATACAGGAAACACAAAAGACAGATGATCTAACTGGGGTCAGAGCTCAGACTCCTGACTCCAGGCCCCTCAAAATTCATTTGCAGAAGCAGGGGCGACACTTTTTTCCTGGAAATCTTGCCAGGAGCCTCCTCACCTGATAACCAGCACCAGAATCTACAGCTGCTGGACAAACTTGTTTGGGGGGGGGGGGGAATCCTGCTTTCATTGGGGTAGAAGATACCATGCTAGGCCTGAGCTCCTGGCCTAGATAAAGACCCCACACCCCCACTCCAACCAAGGCCACACACTGACCATATTCTGCCACCAGGGTGACCCTAGACCTAGTCACATACAGACAAACCCTAACCCTAACTCTGATCCTAGCCAGATTTCCCTGATACTGGCTGGCCCTTGACCCTAGTCATAGTCTGAACCCCAACTCTAGCCACAGACTGACCATCTAAGTTACAACCCAGCCAGACTTTCTGACCATGGCCTAGACTGACCTATGACCCTTGCTATAGGTTAATCTCTAAACCAGACACAGACTAAATGGACTCCACAACATGACCCCTGATCCAGTTACTAACCCAGGCCACAGTCACATTCTGAATTTAGAGCTCTAGCCCCCCTAGAAATCCTTAAACCTAGCGCCATCACCAGAAACTGCGTTTCCCAAGAGGCCTCCACCAGAAACATACTGGGTCCTTTGACCTCACCTCCCAGCTTTGGTGATGATCATTTCTGTTCCCACGGAATTAAACTCTTTCCACAGCTCCTGGTTCTCCAGGCTCAGGCTGACTCCAGGGAGTGAATGAAGGGCCTCTGGGGCTGGAGGAGATGGCTCAGTGCCCAGGGCTGGGGGCAGAGGGGGCAGTGGTGGGGCAGCAGCCAGGGTGCGGGAAGCAGCCTCAATACCCGAGAGGAAGCAGTCCAGTTTGGGAGTGTCCAAATCTGGAGATGGGGAGAGAATGAGGAGCCAGCCCAGGGTCACAGCACCTCCCCCAAATCCCTACATAGCTCACCCCAAAGCTCACCAGGATAGCGGTAGCCCTCTGCCAGGGCGGGCGGGAAGCTGGAATCGGCCACTGGCTGGGGGGGCCCAAGACGGTAGCCGGTCCCCAGTGAGGGGTACAACTCTCTTGGATGATACATGGAGTCTGGCCTCAGGACACGCTGCCTAGAGTTCCTTGGTGCTGAGAGATACCCCGCTTTATAGCTCACAGCTCAACCCCCTCCAGACCCAGCATCACAGCCCCTCCCTCCCTCTTTGAGGCCCTGGAATTGGGCTGGGGTGGAGACCCCTGGGGCCTGGAAGGGGTCCCAGAGGGGGCCGGATACCTGGGTACCCTCCTTTTCACCCCTCCCCCCCTGGCTACATTAGCCTCGACCCCCTGCCCCCTCATTACATAATTAACTCCTCGGCCTGATTGATCCCCGGGGCTTGGACAGGGACGCAGTTTGGCGCTTCCGGCCAGCTGGTCCCCGTTCCCACGGGGGGAGCCCCAGCTACGGACAAGCTACTGAAGGGGCGGGGCCTGGACCCTGAGTTGAAGCCTGGAGTCCTGGGGCAGACCTTGGCGCCTCAGACTTTTCTGGCAGGTGACCCACATCCTTCCCTCCGCCCCCCATTCACTCGGAGGACGGGGAGTGGAGGGACAAACATGACTAGAGGGCAAGCGCAGGGCTGGAGGCACGCAGCCTGAGTACATTACTACACAGGGCACTTGAGTCCGCAGCCGAAAGCCGAACCCTGACGTCCTTCCTGGTTCTCATTCTCCACCCTCATCCAAGTCTCAAAAGTTTAGAGAACCCCACAGTTCTACAGTCTGACTGGCTGGCGCCTGAGTTTCCCAGAAGGTCCCGTGGAGGGGAACCCTGGGAACTACACTTCCCAGCAGGCCCAGCGTCCACTTGGGTGTGGAGAAGATCAAGAGATGCCTCAGGGGCCACTGGAAGCTGTAGTTGAAGAGTAGCCCCTGAGCGGTAGCAAAACAAAACAAAACAAAAAACCGCTAAAGCTAAGAAGACGCAAATCAGCTCACATCAAGGTCTATGGAGCCAGAGTGAGTGGGCTCGTGAATCACGACCTATCCTGGGTCCTACAGAAGATGACTGAAGCCAGGCCCCAGGAGCGCAGACGGCCACCTTTGACTACGGTGCCTACCCGCTGCCTCACTGGGGCTCAGAATGAGAAAGAACGGGTCTATAGTGGCAGGAATCTGCACTTGAGATCCCCCTTTTCGATTCCACACGAGCCTGTCTCCACTCCATTGTTTTATTATATACAAACGCTACAGAACAAGGGGAGCAGACACGCGTGCGGTAAGAGGGGCCCAGTGGGCGGAGGAGTTCACAGGGCAGATGGTGCACTGAGCTCTGAGAATAACACACAGGCCGTATCTATAGGATAGGCGGGGCAGGTTAAAAAATGAGATCCAAGCCAGCCAGATCGCAGGGAGGTGTGTGTGTGGGGGATGTCGTCCACCTTCTGATCTCCCCCCAAGGTCACAGTGCATGCAGTAAAATATAAGTACAGGAGCTGGATCCGTCCTCAGCAGGAGCTCTGAGGGTCCAGAGCTTCCTTCTGACAGCGAAGGGAAGCCAGTGGCGCCCCCTGGCGGCCAGGCCGGGCTGGAGCCACATGCGGAAAGAGCAGGGGTCAGTCCCAGCCATTGTCTTTGATCATGTGGTTGAGTTCAATGATGTACTTCCCCTCTTTGTACTTCTGGCTGCTCTCGAAGGCCTGTTCCTGAAAGGAGGGGAGAGGCTGTCATCCCTAGAGCAAGGGCCTTACCCACAGGGATAGGGGTTGGGGCATGGATATGACTGGCCCCATTTCATATATGAGAAAACTGTCACCCAGAGAAGCCAAACCTCCTGTCCACAGACATAGAGCTGGTAAGTGCCAGGGCCAAGTTTCTCACTAACAGGATAGCTAGAACTCTTTGAATCATGGGTATTTTTTAAGTACTAATGTTGGCTCCAACAATGATGACACAGAAATTTCTAAAGATCCAGGGATTACAGACTGGTAGCCTGAGGGCCAATATTGGCCTACACAAGTATTTTGTTTGCCCAGCAGAGAGTTTAATAAAAATAACTTTGAGCCCTGGCTGGTGTCGCTCAGTGGACTGACTGCCAGCCTGCAAAGTGGAAAGGTCGCTGGTTCAATTCCCAGTCAGGACACATGCCTGGATTGCGCCAGGTCCCCAGTTGGGGGCATGTGAGAGGCAACTGATAGATATTGCTCTTGCACATCAATGTTTCTCTCCCTTTCTCCCTCCCTTTCCTCTATCTAGAAGCAAATAAAATTTTTTAAAAAGCACCAAAACTTTGAAATACTAGCATATAGGCAGGCCGTGCTCACTCCAGCATGGCACAGACTACTCCTCTCCTCACCTCCCCAATCCGTGTTACCCCTTTTGCAGATCCACAGTGCAAAAAAGTGCTGCTCCTGCAAGCATTTAGGTTTTTGACCTCTAAACTGGCCACCTCTTTATTTTACAGAGGTCCAGAGAAGCCAAGTCATCTGTACAAGGACACAAAGCAAATCTGTGGCAGAACCAGGGGTGAACTCAGGTCAGGGCCATTTGCCTGTCTCTGCTTGGGGCGTCCACATCACCAAGGCACCACAGCTCCAAGCAACTGCAGTTTCCCAAGAGCATCTTCTTTTGTTGCATCTAATCTGATCCCCATAACAATCTTGGGTGCCAGGTGGTGGCTTTATCCTCCACTGCCAGATAAGGAAACGAGACTCAGAGTAGTGAAATCAGACCCTGGACCACAGTAGTGGCAATGAGGGCAGTGGAAAAGGAGGCCCATGGACCCAAGCTCTGTGTTGCTGTGGGGTCTTGGGCAATATTTCTGATCCTCTGAATGGTAACAGAAGCTGGAGTCAAGGAGTTAAAAACAAAACAAAGTAGGATTCTGGTCCCTATTCTGTTACTTGCTGGATGTGTGACCTTGGGCAAGTTACCTAACATCTCTGGGCCTTTCTTCTGTAAAGTGAAGATAATAATAGACTCTGCCTACAGGATTGTTGTAGTGACTGAATGAGATAATGGTATATGCCAAGCAGCACATAATAGTGTATAGCGATAAGCCTTCATTAAATAGTAACTCTGATTATATCATCATCTCTAAAATGGGGATGCTTGTGCCTGTAAGGAGAGGGATGAGTTAAGAGAAAAATTCTAAAAGCCTTTGCAGGATGTGAGAGAAGAATTTATGGTCAGGGGATGAGACTATCTGACTTATGTGAGCTGGACCTATACACTCTGAAAGACTATCAGATAACTGCTTGTGATGTGAGGTCATGTCAAAGGCTAGCCTCAGGTCAGAGGTCACTGACTCACATATTTCCAGCCCAAAGTGGTCTTGCAGTTCTCGCAGTGGATGTCAGCGACGGCATGAAGGCCTGTCAGCAGCACCCGCTCCTCGGCTGGCCCGCAGCCCACGTTCACCCTGTAGGGATATGGGGGCAGTCCCAGGGAGGGTCCCATCACAAAGCCCACCTTTAGCTTGTCTCCAACAGTGTCTGTCCTTAGCGTCTTGCCTGAACCAGGGGATTTTGGGAGTCTCGGCACGATGCCATGGGTCACAGGTCACGGGGAAAGAAAAGAAGGGAGGCCAAGTACTTACACAGAATTGAAGAGGTAGGCACGCCCCTGACTGCCTTGGAAGGACTAAAGGATGGGAGAGAGAAGGGGTCAGGGTTATTGTTGGAGAACTGCCAAGCACACCTTCTAGCCACTCATTCCAGCCCCAGCTGTGACCTGGTTACCTTGGAGATGAGGTCGTCGTGGTTGGCCAGGTGAGCACGGCAGTGGGCACAGCTATACCTCCGGTGACAATCATCCAAGTAAGCCTGAAACGTCTTGGGCTTTGAAATCCGCACCATGGCGGGGGCTGCAGGCAATGGCCCCACTCGGGGAGCAGCCCACGGGGAGCAAAGAGAGCCCAGTGCCTGTCAAGGAGGGAGTGAGTGGATTGTCAGGACCCCAGCCACACACATGCAGCCCTGCCCAGAGCCATGGGGACTCTCTCTGTCACACTTGGCTGCTGTCTCCTCTCCCCAGAGCCAGCAGCCTCTCCAGGGACTAGAGCTGGCTCAGTTTTGACTCACTGAGGAGGCCTCAAGTTGCATCAGTGGGGAAACTGAGGCTAGGAGGATCCCATGATGAGTCACCCACCTGCTTTCGGCTTCACCCCTGGTGACCTGGCAACTGAAACTGGAGGAAGGGGCTTTAGAGTGGATGAGCTGTCAGTTCTTTATTTAGGGAAGCTTGGAAGGGTTAGGAATTGATTTTTAGGATCTCATCTGAACTAAGGAGTGCGGAGTAAGGGGGCCGACTTCACTTAAGGCACAGGAAGTTCACCTGGAGAAATGGTCCCTCACCTGGAGAAGGCTGGAGGCCTCACTGAAGTTGGAGGGTCACCGAGGAGGGGAAGGTCTCTTACCTAGGGACGCTGAGGCCTTGTTTATGCCGAGGTCGTAACTGCACGCGCGGAAACTTACCTGAGACCCCGGGGCTCACCTGGGGCGCGGGTGTGGGGAGGGGGCGCCGGGGAAGGGGGCAGGTCCTCACTGGCGGGCGGGGGCGCGGGGCGACGCGCAGCCCTGAGGATGCGGACCTCACCTTGCCTGAGCGTGCGGGAGCCGGTCCGCCGGGGTGGCTGGCCTGGGAGTAGGGGGCGCTCCTGGTGGGCGCCGTCCCCCCCCAGGCCCGGGTTTTCAGTCGCCGCGACTTGTTTACACCGAGACCAGCTGCTGCCGTCGCTGCGGCGGGAGGGGGAGGGGGCCGGCCCCTAGTCCCAGCGGTGGCCGTAGCCAATCGGCGCACAACATGCAAATGAGGGGGCGCGTCACACCACGGCCGGCGCAGGCCCGGGCTACCCTTCCCCCTGCTCCCGGCTCCGGCTCCGGCTTCGGCCGGCCCGGAAATGCGGCTGTGGCCACCGCTGCGGCCCGTGGGCCCGCAGAGCTAGAATCCCGTTGCCCCTCTGGCCTCCGGCGGTTCTGGAAGGGGCTCGTATTTGAGGTACCTGACTGGAGTGGGCTTAGGAGGGGGACATGCCTGGATGCACGCCCCCGGGGGACACGATAATCAAAATTATGTGCGTTACCTACCACCCGTGCCTCGCTCAGTCTCTGCAGCAAATCCTGAGGCAGCTTCCGCTTTATTGTTCTCATTATACAAGGAAACTGAGGTCCAAGGAGGTTTAGCAGCTCGCTCGAGATTACCCAGCTAAGAGGCAAAGTTGGGATTCTCACTTTGGTCTGAGTCCACCGCTTTGGCAATACCAGGGACAGACTCTTAGAATGGAAGAGCTAAAAGGTGGCCACCGGTGTTAGACCCTGGGGGCCAGAGCCTGGGAACAAGCCACTTCCTACGGTTGAGCCTCGCCTCCTCCCCCTGGTAGGCTCCTCCGATGCCCCTGTACCTCCAGGCCGAGTCGGTGTCTGCTGTGGGCTTCCTCTTTCCCTTTCTCATCTCTGAGTGTTTAAACATGTCTGCCACACTAAACTTGTTTTGTTCCTTGCACTGACCCCCGGATCCAGCCTGGCCTAGAGTAGTCAATACACGTTTGTGAAATTCGTGCTTTGTTAAGTGAATGACATACTAGGGCCGGAGAGGGCTGAGGAATTCAGGGAACTTCCGGAGTAGGAAACAGGAGTGGCAGGTTGGAAGGCTGAGGCAGCAGATGGGCGTTGCCTGGAACTCAGCTGTCCCAGCCGTGCCCACCCTCTGCAGCCAAGTGAGGAGGCGCACAAAGGCAAATCAAGCCCCTTGCAGTGTGTCCTGCACTCTAATGGCCTCAGAATGGAATGATTATCTGTGGCTCTGAAGGGACATTCCTGATAAGAGTGGAAGCCAGGCTGGCACGGGGTGTGGTATCATTCTGGGTCTGGAATGCAGTGGAACCAGTGGGTCAGGCTAGTCAGGGCCCAGACTCCGGCCTTAGACTGTCCTAGGCTGCCATGATTGCAGTTCAATAGGATCTCCCACCCCCACCCTCAAAAAAAAAAAAAAAAAAGGCAGGACTGAAAAGAAAACGTTTATTGGGGAAGAGAAATAGAGGAGAGGGCGAGGGTCTCACTGGGCCCCACGGTTGTCCAGGTAGCGCCTCAGGGCTGTGGGATAATCGGTCATGACGCCAGTGGCCCCCAGATTGTAGGCGACTTCAAAATCCGACTCTTCATTAAGGCACCAAAATATCACCTGAGTGGGGAGAGAGGGGCTTGTAGTTTCCAACTTCACCTGGAACTCCCCCTGGCATCCAAATGGCCAGCTCTCTCCTCTGTGGATACCACCTAGCAGTGGTATGCAGGGGAGTTGATTGTTCAATTTTCAGAAATTTTTTGAGATTGTTTTGAACACAGCCATTATTAAGTGTTAAATTACATAAACTATATTAAAAGCAAAGGTAATGAAAACTGAAAACTCACGACAGCCTAATAATTTCATTACATTTTACTCTCCCCTGTGCTCTGGAGGTTATGCCTCTTGACTGTGCACGATGAAAATGCTCTATAACCATGTGCTACCTCACATCTCTTCCCCGCTCTGTTCGGTGACTTCTGTTGGTGGCCTGAGATCGGCTGAGGCAGAAGTGTATACTCTAGGGAAATGATCTAGTGTTCAGATCAGGGTGCTTTTTCCCTCCTGGAGAGCCGGTTGTGGACTGTTTGCCAGAGGTCACTGGACTTCTCAGTTTCTTCATGTGACAACTGAGTTGTCCAGCCTCCTGGAGTCGTGGGGAAGCCCAAAGGAGTGGGAGGGCTGATCCGGAAGAGCCCCATCATCCTCATTTACCCCCACACCTAATCAGCGGCTGATCTGTGAGTTAACTCTTCTAGCCACCCCCACATTACCACCTCAGTTTCCTTCACTTCACATGGTGGCCAGGGTGACTCTCACTCAGCAAATGTCAACTGGATCAGGTCTCTTTCCTCAAAAGCTTTTCCCTTTGGGCTGAAGTCCAGGCTCCTTATCGAGGTCCTTGGGTGCCTGTCTCAGCCTCTGCTCCCTTCTCTAGCTCGCCTTGTGCTGCTTCCTCCAGACTGCAGCCTGGTGGAAGCCCTCCCAGGCTCTCAGACTGCCAAGGCCTCTTGCTCCTCCGGGCCTTCACACATGCTGAGCCTCCTTCCAGCCTGAGGTGCTCTCCCTTGCCCCTCCTCATGAGCCAGCCTCTCACTTCTTCCAGAAGGCCTTCTCTGACCCCACAGACTGCCACACTGTTTCCTTTCTGTCCACTATTTGCCCCTGTGATAGCCTGCTTCATTCCCTTCCTCTGCCCCTGTGGTAACTCCCTATTCCGTCCTCAGTACCATAGTGCCTGGAATATATTCTCAACAAAGTTTTGCCAGTTAAATGACCTGGTCAAAGCTGATGCTCAGGGGAGCAGAAGGAGGCGGGCTGGGCTGGTTTCTCCCTCCTCTCTTTGCCCAGGCCCCCTCAACAGGGATCAGAGCAGTTCAGTGTATCAAAATGGCTAGCCCTTATCAAGCCCTTACTAAGTGCCAGTTACATATCCAGAAGAGTTAAATATATCATTATGCCCATTTATAGATGAAGAAACCAAGACTCAAGGTCCCCAGCTAGTCAGTAGCAGAACTGTGATAGGAACGCTGTGCTGGGCGCATGCTGTGAACTGAGGGGGTGGTGGGCAAGCCTCACCTGCACTCCTCGTTGCTCCAAGTGTTGGATCAGACTTTTCCTCATGATGAGCCTGGTGCGGGGGGAGGACGGCAAAGGCCAGTATGAGAGAGACTAAGGAGCAGGGCAGAGGCAGGTCTCTGAGGACACCCCACCCAGCCTTCTCGCCCACCTCACCATTTAGAAACCACAGCTGTCAGCTGGTTCAGCACAGGGCTGGAGAAAGGGAAGTAGGTCCTGCGGAGAGGTGATATCATGGTCACTCCATGGGTCTCTGTCACAGGGGTGGGGAGTAGGGGTGGCAGTGATCCCTGACTAGTGAAACCTACTGCTTCTAGAAGAACACTTCCAGTTGCCCAGATGAGCTTCCCTCATAACCATAGAGGGGAGCAGAAAGCACTGGGGCCACCAGAGAGTTCTCTGAAAGCAAAGGGAGGACCCCGGCCTGAGAGCTGGTGAAGTATCCAAATTCCTGATTGTTTACCCAGATGTTACTTTGTTAATCCTTGTATCCCAACAGGAAAACACTTGCTTTTCCTTTTGAAAATCAGAGAGTGATACTGTAATTAATCAGCATCTGTCTACCTGGCCAGGCTATAAGCTGAGGTCCTTACCCAACCCACATTGGTCTTCACTAGTGTAACTATACCTGGAAGAGTAGGCATTCAATAAATATTTGTTGGATGAATAGATGAATAGATGAACCCTTTGTCCTAAAAATCCATCCACATCAACACCCATTTGCACTGAATTTCAGGAGATTTATGGTCTCCTTAGTATTCATGAATGCTAGATGAGAACCACTGTCTTCCAAGCACCCTGGGGCTATCCTGAGGGGAACTTGAGAGCTGGGAACCCTACAAAATGGAGTTTGAGATAGGGAGGTGTTCTTCTGAGGACAGAAGCAGCTGGGGAAAATGAAGGGAGATGGGGACTCTGTGGGTACCTGTTGATGATGGTGGGCAGGAAGCAGATGAAGAACTTCTCAGGGATAGGGATGAAGGGCAGTAGCCCCAGGTAATACAGCAGTAACAACCAGATTCCTCGTCTTATTGTGAAGGATAACGGCATCTTGGGGTTCTGGGAGGAAGGGGAAGTGAGAGGGGGATCAAGTCTGCTCCTGGGGAAGCAGAGAGGCTTGGGCTGCAGGGGAACAGCTTTTGGACATTCAGGAAGCCCTACTTCTGTGCAGGGTCAAAGCCACATCTTGGTTCAGCCCCAGATGCACCCTCCCGTGACCTCCCGGATGACTTTACTAACACACTTTTTCTATCACCTCACCTCTCCAAACCCTGCAGAACCTCTCAAACCCTTCCAGCCTGGGAGGATGGGCCACTGGCACAGGGAGGGAAAAGGGACTCACGGCAGCTTTGCACTTCTTCATGACTGAACTCTTCTCTGAGGCCCAGATGGTGATTTCATTGCGGTCAAAATGCCTCACCAGGCTGGCTATCTGTAAGGAGGAGGAGAAGAAATGAAGGGGAGTTAGGCCTTCATTAAGGCCTGGCCACTCCCCCCACCCTCCATGCCTGCAGCACCACCTTGTGAATGAGCTTCTCGTTTTCCCCTTTGACCTCCACACTCATGGGCGTCCGAGGGAACCTCCGGAACATGTCCTCCAGACTCACCATGCGCCTGTCTGACCCATGTGCAAAGTGGCCTGGGAGGTTGTGGGAAGACAGATCAGAGCAGGATTGGTTGGGGGGGTTAGAACCCAGGGAACAGAGGCAAGTCCTAGGGGAAGAGGGCAGAGGTTGAGGCCCTGGCACATTCTTACCTGGCGAGAAGTAAATCTCCAGCTCCTCCTTGTAGAGGGGCAGCTCCTGGGGACAGCAAGGAGCATGTGAGCTGGAGGTTTATGGGGAGGCTCTCTGGGTTTGGTGGGGGGGCTGCGGCAAGGCCCACCTCAAAGGCCAGGCTGTCCACGTCCCTGTTCACTCCCGACTGGCGGTATAGGTTGTCATCATGCGATACCACCACCACACCATCCCGAGTCAGCTGGCAGTCCAGCTCCAGGAGGTCTGCCCGCTGGGCCATGGAGCTATGGGAACAAAGTCAGCGAGGCGTGGAGCACGGGACAGGCCAGACCACAGCACGGTGGGGGAGGTTTAGGGGAGTGTGGGATGTGCAGGCTGTGTGATGCCTGCGGGGGGGGGGGGGCGCTCCAGTCAGCCCTTGGCATCCTGCAGCTCGGTTGGGCAGGGGTACGTACTTTTCCATGGCCGCCATGGTGTTCTCCAGCTTCTCTCCAGATCCTGTGAGGGGCAGCAGGGGTGGGGCGCCTGGGTCCTGGCCTCCCTCCTCCCCTCCTCCCCTGCCTCATCACCCGCAGTCAGCCCAGGTTGAACAGCCTCTTCTTCCTAATTCCACACCATGCACTACCGCCCTGCTCTCCTCCTACCTTGGTCTCTGCCTTCTAACATTTGGCGCCTTAGACCTACTCCTCTCTGCTGTCCACTGTGGCACATGGCTTGCTATCCTTTTCCACCCTCAGTAGCTGATACTCCCCCTCCCCCCACCCAGCTCACCTCCGCGGTGGGCCGCCAGGCGGGGTCTGAAGGTAGGAGCCCAGGGTGTGTGCAGCAGGCGAGGCCGGCGCAGGAAGAAGATGGAGACCATGACATAGCTGCCCAGGGCAGGCAGGGCATAGTACAACAGAGGGCTCATGGCTGCACTGACGGTCTGGGCTCTGGCTGCCGTGAGCTCAGCTGTCCCCATGAACTGTGCTGTCTTCCTGATTGCCTGGCTGATGATGTACGCTGGTTCTACCACTGGTCACCACCACGCCCCTGGGACCTGCTGAGCCTGCTGCTGGCACAGGGCCAGGCTGCAGAGCTCAGCTGGAGATGGAGTAGAGGCAGGAGGAGGAGCCAGGCAGCTCCGGCCCTCACACCCCCAGACCCTTCGGGGACCCTAGCGCCTCTCTCCCCTTGGCCGGACTGGGGCAGTCAAGACCCTCCCCCGGCCAGGTCGGCCATAACCTTCCCCCTCCCTTACCACTTGTGTGTGTGCCCAGGGGATACAACACATTTCCCCTTGCCATTTCCAGAAAATCCGGGGTGGGTAGGGTGCCGGAGTCACCTCTGAATCACCCCACCCAGCCAGTTAGGAAGATATTAGAGAGGGGAGAGGACAGTGACTAAGGAGAAAATTGACCCTGCTCTGTCCAGGAATCTGGAGCTTCTTACACTCCCACCCACAACCCTGGCCAGCTGGGAGGCCAAAGGTCATCAGGGTAGAGCCACAGCTGGGAAGCAGCTGGAGTGTCAGTCTTCAAAACAGCAACGGCGAGGGACACGGCATCAGCAAACACAGACAGAGCCAGGGCCGTCAAGTACACATCTCTGTATTTATATATTAGACACAGGTGCAGGGGTGGGCAGGGGCCCCAGGCTCTCCACGTGCCCCCACCCCCACTTCTGTTCGCCCACACACAGAAGCAGCAGGAGCATCATTACATGTGGCAGCTTAGGGGAGGGAGTTTAGGCAGGGCCCTGCTCCTCAGGTATACTAGCCCTTGAGCCTTAGGAATGTTCCTTCTGGGAAAATGGGTGAGGTTTTAATGAGGCCGGTGGGGCAGGGATGCCCTGGGTCCCTACTCAGTGATCCCTATTCGCCACTGCCCCTCAGTAGGTCACAGGGCAGCCAGAGCCCTTGGATTCCAAGACTACCAGAGACTGGGATAGCTGGGGTAGAGGAAGGCAGAGCAGCTTAGGGGAATTTGCTTTGGGGCCACCTGCGTGCGCCCTGCAGGTCCTGGCAGGGGGGTGGTAGGATAGAGGGAGCCTTGGCCTGCCTAAAGCAGGAGGCTAGAGCAAAGGGAGGGAAGGTTACCAGGCCCACCCTCTGCCCTGAGTTTGGCTGCCGGGGTCGGGGCTAGGCGGTATCCATTTTCTAACAGTCCAGCAGGGGAGGGCAGGCAGGAGGCAGGGCCTAAACAAAAAAGCAGGCAGGAAAGTGACCATTAGCATGCATGAGAGCATGTGCCGGAGCCCTGACCTCAACTTCTCTCATTTTATCCTCACAGTTGAGTGGGATATGTCTTGGTTTCCTTATGCGTAAGTGGGGATAACATTAGTCCCTACCTCATGGCACTGCTACAGGATTAAATGAGTTTAAGCAACATAAACCTCTTGGAACTATACTTAGGGCTGCATGTTTGTTCTCATTATCAGGACTGGCCCCGGGAAGCTGAAGTGCAGAGGTGAGGTGTCTTGCACAATGTCATGCAGCTCTTATAGGTGTGTCTGCCTTCCTTCTATCAGTCTACAGCTGGCAGGAAGTCAGAAAGAAGACTGGAGAAGCAAGGAAGAGCAAGGTCTTCCCTTGCTCTGTGGGTCTGGGCAGGCCTTGGAGAGTCCTCCACAGGTGTGTGAACTGCTGACCTGGGGAGCAGGTGTGAGAAAGCGTGGCATCTGGGTCAGGCTGAGTGCTGCTAGCTCCTCCCAAAGCAATTACTGCCCCACCTGCCTCTCTGCCCACAGAGAGAGGCAAAAGCTGGCTCCATTCCTCGGATCAGGGAGGGGGGCCCTCAGTGACCTCTGAGGGCCCAGAATGGGTACTGGGGCTGGAGAATGCAGGGTGTTGACAGGTGGGAGACATTTCAGGTTGTGGGAAAGGTGGAGGGACATGAAGACTGGTAGACCACAGGTCTGTGGCCTGAGCAGGCTCCGGTCCTTCTGTTGCCACCAAAGACAGGGATCATGGGCACGAGCAAGCTTTTGACTGCATGGTGTACTGGGCACCCTGTTCTCAGGGTGAATTTGTGTGTGGGCAGTGGGGAGCACTCACTAGGCCCCAGGGAGCAGAGGCATCTGTTCAGGTTAGGTGGCCTCCAGCACCCCAGGCTGGAAGCGGGCTGTCTCCTGGAATATGAGCTCCTTCAGCCGCTCCTTGGGTAGATCGTCCAACTCCATGTCAAAGGTGAAAGGTTCCTCGGCCACCGGCTGGAGTGGCAAAGAGGTGAGGCTTAGGCCAGATACTGAGAGATGCCTACCTCCACTTACCCACCAGACCTGTTACTGGTGGCTGGCCCACCTCATCTGTTGGGTCGTAGTACTGCTCCAGGTAGGGGTGAGCCAAGGCTTCTTCCACTGTGATCCGTTTATTGGGGTTAAAGGTCAACATCCGGTCCAGCAGGTCAAGGGCTAGGGAAGTGCAGGAGTCAGGGGTCAAAAGGAAGGCTAGGGAAGTTCCCAGAAGCACTGTTTTGCTCCTCTGTGCTCAGGGGGCCTGTGTAGTCAGGTAGCTGCTGGGCTCATGCCCCCAGATGGTATCCCATATCAGCCCCCATGTCTCTCACCTTTGGAGTCTGATTTGGGAAAAAGCTTGGCCCAGGCCACCTTGGTCTTGGAAGGCAGGGACTGTAGGTAGTTTCGGGCCTTCATGTTGATGATACAATTCAGGTCCTCCTGGGATGGGGAGCCCAGGATACCTGTGGGTAGGGCAGGTGACTTGGTGAGAGAGCTTCTCTTCCTTCTGTTCCCAGAAGCAAGAACAAGAGCTCCCACCAACCCATTCTAGGCCCTGACAGTTATCTCCCAGCCAATACTATGGTGGTGAAGCAAGGGATCTGGATTCAGGCAGCCCTAGGTTCAAATTGCAAAACCGGTACTTCCTAAATGTGGGGTGTAGTCTTGCTTTTCCCATGTACCAAATGGGGTAGTATCTATATCTCACTGAAATGCTGTGAAATGCTATAGGGGCTCCAAGTGTGGATCCCATTCCTGCAGACTCACTGACCCTGACCCTAAAGAAATCTCACCTCCAATATGCTAATCTCCCTTCCACTCAGCTGGCCAGACCCCCCTCACCCAGAATGTGGTTGAGCTGGTCCAGGTAGTGCTTGCCAGGAAAGATGGGCCGGTTGGAGAGCATCTCAGCCAGAATGCAGCCCACAGACCAGATGTCAATGGACTTGGTGTAGCCCTGGGAAGGAGGAGAAAGTGGTGGGCTCCTGGGCCAGCCTCAACAGGTGCCTACTGTCTGGGCCAAGCCACCACCCCAACCTGGATTTAGTACTTCAGGGAAGTAGAGAGCAGAGGCCTGGAGGAGCTAATGCTTAGCCTCTTTCTAGATCCCAAGGACCAGAGCTACGTGACTCGGCCCAGTGGGTAGACTTCTGGCATCATGGGGGTCACCGCCTGGCTCAGAGGTGGCTCCAGGGCTTTTGGGGATCTGACCCCTTCCCTTTGAGGGTGGGTGGCCCCCCTACCTTGGAGTTAAGCATGATCTCTGGGGCTCGGTACCAGCGTGTGGCCACATATTCTGTCAGGAAGCCGGTGTGGTCATGCTCAGGATCAGCGATCCGGGCCAGGCCAAAATCACAGATCTGGAATCCAACCCAGGCTGCTAAGCTTGGTGCTCAAGGTCTCCACAGCCCAAGCAATCATATCACCATGCCTCTGCCCATGCTGTTCCCTTTGCTTGTGATGCTCTCCTATTCCAGGGGAGTATTAGTCAAATGGAAGCCCTAGACCCATGGGGAGGAGGCAACGGGCACCCAGTCCTCTGACCTTAAGGTCGCAGGTGGTATTGATGAGCAGGTTGGAGGGCTTTAAATCCCGGTGGAGCACGTTGGCTGAGTGGATATACTTGAGGCCCCGCAGGATCTGGTAGAGGAAGTAGCAGACGTGGTCGTTGCTCAGCTGCTGGCTTTTGAGCAACTTGTACAGGTCTGTCTCCATCAGGTCCTGCACAATGTAGCTGAGGATGGTATCGGAGACCCCACAGGTGGGGGTAGCGGGAGGCACTTGGTTAAGAAGAACGGGCTCTGATGACTGGGCTTCGCAGCTCCTCCAGCTGGCACCCCTAGGGCTCAACAGATCTGCCAACCCATATCACGAGCTGGGCATGGCACATACTCAGCAGTTGGGCTCAGGGCCTCTGCTGCATCTTAGCTGGTGACCCCGAGCAAAAGCATTTTGGTTCTGTGGCTCGGTTTCCCTACTGGGAAAAATGGGGACAATAAACTGCAGAAGGCAGAAGAATTTCATAGTTAAGAGCGGAAGCTCTGGGGTTAACCTGCTGGTGATGAAACCTCACCCCACTGCTCATTGGTTTTATGACCTCAACCTGTCTCTGCTTCTGTTTCCTCATCTGAAAAGCAGGGGAAAGAAAAGTTCTTTTGAGCGTGGTTGTGACAATGACATGAGATGACCCATGTAAAGCAACCAGCCTAGTGCTTGGCACATTTTAAGTGTTCAGCAAACATAAAGTAGTATTGCTATTATAAATGCCTGAGCCACATGGCTGTTGAGAGGGTTAAATGACATAATGTATGAATACCATCTGGCATGCAATAATTTTTTTTTAATTTTATTTATTTTAGAGGGGAAGGGAAGGAGATAGTGAGAAAAACTTCAATGTATGGTTGCCTTTCATGCGTCCCCTGCTGGGAACTGGCCTGCAGGGAACTGGCCTGCAACCCCAGTATGTGCCCTGACTGGGAATCGAACCCCGATTGTCTGGTTCGCAGGCCCGCGCTCAATCCACTGAGCTACACCAGCCAGGGCTGGCATGCAATAATTTTTTAAAAGATTTTATTGATTTATTTCCAGAGAGGGGAAGGGAGGGAGAGAAACATCGACGTGCAAGAGAAACATCAATGTGTGGTAGCCTCTTGCACACCTACAACTGGGGACCAGGCATGTGCCCTCACAGGGAATCAAACCAGCGACCTTCACCGGCCTGTGAAGAGGCCAGTGCTCAATCTACTGAGCCACATTAGCCAGGGCAAATTTTTAAAAAATTATTTATTGATTTTTAGAGATAGGAAGTTGGGGGGGGTGGGGATAGGGAGAGAGAGAGAAACATTGATTTGCTGTTCTACTTATTTATGCATTCACTGGTAGATTCTTGTATGTGCCCTGACTGGGGCTCAAACCTGCAACCCTGGCATATTGGAATGAAAAATATAACCAACTTAAGCTACCTGGCCAGGGACAATAAGTGTTTGCTTAAAAATAAACACCTACCTTATGGGGATGGTTTGTGTAAACTCCCAACAGCACGCTCCTACTCAAAGAGTGCTAGGTCATGCATCAAAAGATAGAGGAGTAAATGTCCTTTTATATTTTAAGATTAAACATACATACATACATACATACATATATGTCACTTGGCTTGTCTCTGCACGAATAAGGTAGGACTGTCTTTCAGAATCAGCCTCAAGAGGGCCTTCTGAGAGGATATGGACCAACCCTATTGTTTATAGATGAGGAGGCCCACGCAGTAAGATGTTTAAGGTCACACAGTGAGCTGGGGGTGAGTGTGGAGGCTTCCTGCCCACAGTTTGTGGTGGGGGCTCCAGACACTGCAGTACAAATCCCCACGCTTGGGTGGAGAACGAGGACTGACTGCGGTGGGTGGAGTGGGGTGAGATGATGGGTATTACAAGTTGCTAACAACGAGAGCCAGGCAGGAAGTGGACAACACACTAGGAAAGCGATATGGGGGAAGGGACACAAAGGCAGGGCTGTCCCTCTCTGGGCAAGGTGCAAGTCCACAGGTGACTGGGGTGGGGCTCTGAGCAGGAAGTCCTAGAGAAAGAGCCTGGTCTCCTTTGGGGGAGGGGTGGAAGCAGCAACAGAAACAAAGCCTTGATTTCAGGCTTTCTGAGCCCCAATTTCCTCATCTATGAAAGGGAGCGGAGACCCATCTCACAAGGCATTTGGGAGACAGAATTAGAAATGCCAAAGCTCTGGGTGTGCACTGAATCTGACTCATAGTAGGCCCTCAAAGAAGGGCAGTTTTCTCCCTGCCTACTTGCCTTCCAGTCTGAGAATCCAGAGGGGAAAGAAGAATCTGTTAAACAAGCATTGACTGCGGGCAGAGGCTGGATCATGTCACAGAACCACACATATTAGGAGACAAGGCTCCCATAGGGAGCATCTTGCCCAGTCCCCCACCCCAGAGGCACAGCACAGAGAACAGACTTGCCCAAGGCCACACTGTGTCTGCAGCAGGCCAAGATTCGTCTGCGGCTTCCTGGTCCTCTTCCCAGTCCTCTTACATTCTGTGGCCTCTTTTCTGCTAGAAGCTTTCTTTTAATGGGTTTGTTTTGGAGGGTGACAGGGAAGAAGGAAGCAGAAAGAGAGCCAATGTTCCCCCAGCCCAGCTCTGAGGCCGTGCCTGGCCAGCCATCTGGCCAAGGTGAAGGATACACATCCCTCATGGCTTCCAGGGTCGGTGCCCGAAGAATGTCTCGGATGCCGATGACATTCTCATGGCGGAAACGCAGCAAGATCTGGATTTCCCGCAGTGTGCGCTGGCAGTAGGTCTGATGCTCAAAGGGGCTGATTTTCTTGATGGCCACTCGTGTCTTGCATATGTGGTCGTAGGCTGAGCTGAGAGGGCCAGAGAGGTGTTGTTGGTATGGTCTTACAAAGGGGGAGTCCAGGGCTGGTGGCCCCACCCAGGCCATGGCAGGGAAGGGAGGGAGTAAGAGAGGAGGGCTCTGGCCAAGTCATAAACAATGCTGGTTCCTTCCTGCTGTGAAGGCCTGGGATCTCCAGGGAGAAAGCTGGGGACCAGCCAGGCAGCCCTTCAGTGCTTCACAAAGAGAGGAAGAGACTGACCGCTCACTGACTTCCCCTCTCCTCAACCCTTACCATTCTAGTTGCCCTGATCCCTCATCCTCCCCTACCCATGAGGAACTCCCTCAACCCAACACAGGTCCAGGGGCTGCGAGGTGAGTGGAGGACACACAGAGAGGCAAATGCAGGGAGATGGAGGGAGTTATAGAGGGACTGGAGGGAAGGGAGAAGGCAGGCACAGGAGTCAGGGCGAGGTAGCTGGGCAGCAGAGCTGTTTCCAGATGAACACAGGCTCAGAGCACACAGTGGGGATGGAAGAACTCACAGACCCCTCATGAAAGTTGCAGGGAGATGCTCCTGGACCCCTCATGGCTCACTGAGCCCCTGTCCCCCAGGCCCAAAGCACTGCCCCATCCTGCCCAGCCCTGAGCTCTGCTCTTTTCTTCAAACTCCTTGACAGGCCTCACTGAGGGAATCTAAGGCATCCTCTCCCCAAAGAAGAGTCCTTCATTCCCCTTTCACTAAGGATAGAACCTCCCAGAGAATACTTATTTTCTTCACCTCACCTCGCGTCTACTGGGCCCCCAAGGTCCCCACAGCTCCTGCCATGTACTCCGATGCCCCTCCCTTCATTACAGAATGGTCAGTTGAAAGGCTCCAAGCCCCCTCCCCTTTGAACGCAGGGAGTTCTGCCTCCCCCAGAAAGCACTCAAAGGCCCTGTCCCTGGGACGCTCCCCAGCTTGGCGAAGCCCCTGCCTCTTCAGGACGCTTGGACGTTCCAGCCCAGAAAGCACTCTGCCCCCGGCACCCCTCCAGCGCCCCCAAGCCTCCTCCCTCTGAGAGGCCCCCTGCCCCGCAACGCCCCCTCACCTGACCATGCCATACGCGCCCTCGCCGATGTACTGCAGCTGCGTGTAGCGCGGGCCCACGTCGAACGGCTGCCCCTTCACTATCTCCACTTCCCCCGGGCCCCCCGGGCCGACCCCATCTGCTCCCCCGGGCTCCCCGCCCCCGCCCCCCTGAGCTGCCGCCGCCGCCATCTCCACTCCTCCCCTCCCGCCCGCCCGCCTCTCCCCAGCAGCCCCGCCTGAGGCCCCGCCCCTTCCCTCCCGCTTGGTCACCCGCGGAGCCGCGCGCAGGGGCCTGTCCCCGCGCGTCCTCGCGCCGTCACGTGACCGGCTGGCGCACGCCCGCTTTTCCAGCGCTGGTTCTCTGGCACTTGGCACCCGCGGGCTCAGTCTGCTTCGGTCAGTGCCAGGGCTCCCCGGGGCCGTCTTAAAAAGGTCTTCACTCTAGACCTTCTCGCTGAATGCAGAACAGTCAGTAGGATCACCCGGTGACCTTACCAGAGCCACCCAGCAAATGTGAGCTGGAGCTGGGACCAGGAGGACCAAGTTGCCTGGCAGAGCCGCTGCAGTCGGAGGAGTGGCCTGAGGCTAAGAGATGGAATCTTATGGGAATCCTCTTCATCCCTGTAGAGTTTGGCCTCTCTGACCAGCATCAACCAGAACATAACGTGATCTCGTTTGTATTTCATAGTAGCCGTGGGAGATGGCTTCCTTACAGATGAGGCCTGCCTCTCACATGTGAGGAAACTGAAGCCTGATTGGGCTCTGATGACTTGGGGTCACTCAGACAACTGAGGGCTGGAGAGCCCCGGGGTCCAGACTCCCAGACAGAGGCTTTCGGGAGTGGCCTAGGAACCCGGCCTCTGCCAGCAAATGTGTAGCGCCCTTAGGGCAGGGGACAGATAACCCCAGCCTGTGGTTACATGGACAGAAAGGGAAAGGTGAGAAAGCCGTTGCAGTGTTGACTGGGTTTGGTTAAAACCCGTATCATCAGGCTTTTATCAAAAACAGCAAAATAGGTAACATTTTTGCTGTCACTGGATTTGGCAAAACTGGAATCCTGCCAAGATCATCATCTTTTGATTCTGTATTAGACTTTATAGTCTATACAATTATTTGACCACTTCAGTTTCTTCTTTTGGGCAACCCTGCAATCTCGGTGTCATCCGATTTTCTTAGCTGGATGTGTGCGGCCGTGCCTGTCTTGTTCATTACTGTTCAGTGCCTAGCACTTGTACTCTGAATGGATGGATTAATCATGTTTTACAGATGGGGAATCTGAGCACTGGGGAGCTGAGACTCGGGATGATATCTTCTGACACAGAGGCTCTTTTCAATTCCATTCTGTCTTCCAGAATCATAGATTCTTCAGTTAAAACTGAAGAAAGGTCCCTCAGAGACCATCCAGTCCAGCCCCCTCACTTCACAGTGAAGATGTGAACTGGAAACTTCAGAAAAACACATTTGCTAGGCTTTAGTAAGTAATCACATTGGTTTTTTTCTCCTTTAGAAGCTGGGAGGAGGTCCTTATATGCATTATAGATCAAGAGACAAAGTGGAACAGTAATTATGATTCTGAAATTGCTCATAATTAGATCTTAGGCCAGGCACCGTAATTCAGATTAATGAGACCAAGTTGCTTGTTCCCAATAGCCCACAAGTCAGTGAATGTTCAAGAGATACTAATTATATCAGTGTTTTAAAAAGTTATTCATTTGATAAGCTGTTGAATGGCACTGTGTGCAAAGCTCTGAGCTAGGCTTTGGGCATGCACTGTGGCCGATGAAAGATTACTGTATAGTGTGAATTAGTGGTCAAGAGCAAGAGCTCTCTGAAGCCAGATTGCCTGGGTTAGAATTCTGTCTTTGCCATTAGTCACTATGTTACCCTGGGTGGATTACCCATTGGCCTCTTCACTTGTGGAGTTTCTAATCTATTGAAAAGAAAAGATGCAGATATATGAATTCATTTAATACAAAATAGATGGATGTAATATATGGTGTGTGAGCTTGGGGCTGGGTGAGATCACCCTTTCTGGAGAATTGAGGAGGGAGTAGTGGAGGAAGTGGCATTTGCATCCTTGGAAAAGAAGTAGGGTTTCAGGAGTTTCGGATGGAGACCAGGAAGAAGGAGCAGTACGAATCCCAGCGTAGAGGCAGGAGCAGGATTTGTGCAGTGTGGCTTCAGAATAAAAGGATTAAGGGAAGTTCAGGCTGGAGAGGTGGGGTGAGGCCAGACTGAGGAAGGCCTTGGATTCTGGCAAGTTTAGATGTTACTCAGTAAGCAGTAAGAGCTTTTGGGGGACTTTTGCCAGGCCATTTTGCAACTGCTGGAGAATATAATGACTCAGAGAAAACACCATGGAGTTCAGCATGGAAACAGGTTTCTTAAGTGGCAGTGAGTTTCCTGGCTTAAGAAAGGCTGATGTATGCTGACGGGTGCCTGCCACCTCCTGCTGTGTCTTACTCCATTTAAAGGCAGGTAACTGAGTTTCCCCTCTAGTGGCGGAGGTTGGTACTTCCCTGGAGATTAGACAGGGATTTCTATTTCGTGAATTCATATTCAGCTAATATAGACTGAACATGTATTCCGTGCCAGTCACTTTTATGTATTTTATCTCCTACCATCCTCCTACCTCATATGAAGTAGATACTATAACCATTTTATTTATTCATTCATTCATTCATTCATTTATTTTTGGTCCTTTTTTTAATTGTTGTTCAATTACAGTTGTCTGCATTTTCTCCCCCCCCCCCCCACCGTATGACCATTTAAAAGGGGGAAAAAGCAGAAACTTACTGAACTGTGGAGTTGGAAGAAACTGAAAGAATCATTTTCTCCACCAGGAAGCTCATCACCTCACAGCTCACTGTGCCGTTTGAATTTTTTTTAACAGCTGCTATTTGGCTTTACTCTCTCCTATTAGACTAGACTATCTTAAGCCATTTCTTACCTGTTTGTGATGTTGAGGTCAAAGGAGAGGCCGGTGGATAATTTGCCCAGGGTAACACAAACCAATAACACTTGAAAAGTGTCAAGACCATTCTCATTTCAACTACCTCAACTAGCCAGCACCAACCGAGAAAGCAGCAACTGTGTAGGAATAGGGGTCAGAACACTGACCTTTTTTTTGAAATCCAAAAAACCTCTGTTACAGTTTTCTTGTGACACTTCTTCATATATTAGAGACTCACTATGACCAAACGTCTCTCCTCTGGTAAAGCATTCTTCAGCTGATACATTCTCTGAAATCTTTCCCCGCTTCCTCCCAGATTCCTTCCCTGGGCTGCCCTGCTCACCAGCCTCCTTTCTCCACAGTATCTCCTTTAGTTACATCATACTCCTGTGGTGACAACTTTTTCCTTTATGTAAGATCTCTAACCTTAGCCTTTGCCTTTCTCCCTGGTTCCAGTTCCAGAGTTTCCTTGTGTGCTGAACAGCCTCACCTGGAGCCAGCCAATACAGAACTTCAGCAGGTCCAGTGGAGGTGACCCCTTTTACTCCGGGACCTGCTTCTCTTCAAGGCTTTGTTTGCTTCAGTACTGCCACCGTGCTCTTGGAGTTGAACCCTGGTCTTTTTTTATTTTTTCATTTCTCTCCATAGCTAGCTAACTTCTTGACATTTTATTACCCTAGTATTTCCCAAAGCCATCCTCTCTACCATTGCTTATTTCATATATTTTTTTTTACTTTAAAAAATTTTTAAAGTAATTTCAGAACTCACCCAAAAGTTGCAAAAAAATTCGAAGAATTTCTGTATACCCTTCATCAACACTCTCTAAATGTTAACATTTTAAATAAACAGAGCACAATTATTAACATCAAGATGTTAACATTGATAGAGTTCATCTGTAAATCTTTTTCAAATTTTGCCAATTGTCTCGCCAATCTCCATTTTTTTTTTTGGTTTAGGATGCAATTTAGGATCACATGTTGCACTTAGTTGTTATTAACTTCTTAATTTCCTTTAATCTGGAATAGTGCCTTACTTATTTTTTTGTTTAGTCTTTCACGACCTTGACACTTTTGAAGATTATAGGCTAATTATTTTGTAGAATGTTCTTCAGTTTGGTTTGTCTGATGTTTCCTTGTGATTCCTTGTTTCACTTTGTTTTTACTCTCTTATTGTACTATTACTACTGTGCTAACTAGTCTTTTCTTCTGTTTTCTCTCTCCACAGACAGGCCTAAAACACATCACTGGTGACATTTGTGGTAAGAAGGAATCTTACAGTAGCAAGAGGTCGAAGACCCAGCTCAAATGGACTTAAGCAAGAAAGGAGATTTATTGGCTTCCTTACAGAAGAGCTTAGAGTTAGGTGTTAAAAAGCACAGTTGACCCCAGGGACTCAAACCTTGTCGGCATTTCGACCCCGCCTTTGAGCTGTGCTTTCTTCTGAGTCCGTTTCATCCTCGAGTGCTTTTCTCATGGTGGCAAGATCTCTGCCACATTTGCTTTCTTTCTAGCAACTCTGGAGGGAAGAAAGCTCATCTCTGCCTATCTGTCTATATCTCTCTCTCCTTATAAGTAAAACCCCAGAGGTGACTCCCATTGATTATTGGTTCTGTTTGGAGCCTGTACAAATCCCCTAACCCATTAGTGTGGAATTGAGGGGTTAGTTATCTCTACTTGCATAACATGAATGGGGCTGGGGAAGGACCGCTTTCCCACTGAAAATTGGGGTGCTTTCCTCAGAAAGTGTTGAGCAGACAAAAAAGCAGTGCCCATTTCAAAGTTTCTGTTTCAAAATTCTAAATTCCTCCCTTTAAATTACCCAGTAAAGTCCTAATTCCTTTACCAACATCCAAGGCCCACCTACCCTGATGCAAATCTGTCTTTTCAGGCTCATTTTCTGAACGAGCCTTTCGCTGTAGCCACACTGAATTCCTCCGAAGCCTGCACGCCATACACATTCCCACATTCCTGCGGGTGCACCTTTGCTCATGCCGTTCCTGTTATTTGGGATGCCCCTTATGGGGGGGGGGGTTCAATGAAAGGAGTCCTTTCCTTATCCAGGGTCAGCTCAAATACCACCCCTTCATGACGTCTTTCTGGTCTCCTCCAGCTGCATGTGTTATATCTGTATTTCTTATGTCTTGGAGCAAATGTAAAATTTGCATCATATTTACTTATTTACTCATCTCGCCCTCCCTGCTAGATTGCAAAGTTTCTTGAAGGCCATAATGCCGGTA